GCTAAAAATCATTGCTGTCCCAGACTTGCTCTTGAAAACCTTCTGAGATTTATACTTAGAAAATAAATAAGCCCAATTATGAGCTTGATGAATAGGCAGAAAGATCTTTAAACAAATCCAAATATAGGAAGTCGGTGAATGTAATTTATTTTTTAAATCTTTGCGAGAGGAAATGTGTTCAAGATAAATCCCAGACAGGACCCTGAGAAGCGAGTCGCTACTTGTTTTGCAAGTCGGGCATTCTTTCTACCTTTTTTTCTGCAAAATTTCAGTACCTCACATTTATTTTTTTTATTGTCATTGAGAAACATAAGAGCTTGCCTGTTTGTTGGATCCAAATCATTGACAAGTGCTTTTCCTGAACAGCATGTCCTTGTAATTCTCAATGTGTTTTGTTTTGCGCATTATATTTAAGTCCATGTGAAATGCTCTTCAGATCAAACAAACGGGTTCTTGAGCCCACCCTCCTGTGAGGCAGAGTGGCCAAAAGGGCAAAAACTGGGCATCCTCTTGCAAAAGCCACAAAGGAGACACATCTCAGGATGCTTTTTAAAAAAAGAGGTCTTTAATTTGGTGAAAAGTCCTCAGCTCATAAGAAGGGCTTTGTGAGGCACTCTTGTGATTTTTGTATTGTGCTGTGGAGAAGCATCTACAGCCCTCAACATGCCTTTTAGGATTTGTGGTGAATAAAAGACCGTCTTTCTAGCATCCTTGAGTCAATTCTCCTTTTTCTAAGCAGAGTGGTCAACCAGATGCATCCAGAAACCCACAAGCAGATTGGTAAAACAAGGAGTACATGTTACATAGTGTTATTAAACACAAGCACCATTGCATTTGTCTTCTCTCAATTAAGATTCAGAGTGTTCAGACTGCCTTGTAGGCAACCTTCTGTTCCCTTGGGAATGGGCTCACCAAGTCTGGACATATTCAGCAAACTCCCACAAAGAGCCAAGGTCAGCTCCCTGAGTGTCCAGGGGCAAAACACCTGGAGAGGATTACAGGACAGCCACGTGATGCCATGCCTTCTTCCTAGGAATGGAGGAGGATTGGCACCTTATTGTGGAGGAAGGACTTTTATATCAATTTAAGCCCTAACTGCGTTCCTTTAGCATTGATGAACACTTCAATGTGTGACCAAACCCTCAATATCTTGACCCTAAAGCAGGCATGGGCAAACTTTGGCCTTCCTCCAGGTGTTTTCTACTTCAACTCCCATAATTCCTAACAGCCTACCGGCTGTTAGGAATTATGGGATTGAAGTCCAAAACACCCAGGAAGGCCAAAGTTTGCCCAACGTTGGTGTAAGAATTGAGTTCCAGTTGCACCTGGAGCTACTATTAGGCTTGGGCAATCCATGGTTCTAAATGGTTCTAAAGTACTTACAAAACTAAAGTTCTGGTGGTGAAAATTTCAGAACTCTAACAAAACTCTCAAAATTTCATAATAAATGGCAGTTCCTAATTGGTTCTGTCATTAAAATCACCAATAATGAAATAATAATTAAATTTTGAAAGTTTTGTTAGAGTTCTGAAATTTTCACCACCAGAACTTTAGTTTTGTAAGTACTTTAGAACCATGGATTGCCCAAGCCTAGTATTTATCCTTCTCTGCTAGAGATAAAATACAAGATACACAAAATTAGAATGCAGGTTACAAGTGTATGACTTGGTTCAGGCAAGTGAATATCAGATATCCTAGGAAATCTCTCCCTTATTATCTTTACAAAGAACAACATAATTTATGTATTTTTGACATAGCATTAAAACATATGTCTTCTCCCCCCCCCCTTTTTTTTTAATAACAGGTGGATTATTACGAACACTTCAAAGACACTCTGATCTACAATGCCAAGCCCCAAAAATAAAGGTGGTACAATTTTCTTGCACTCTGATGATGATGATTAAAAGAAATACAATCATAGAATCCTAGAGTTGGAAGAGACCTCCTGGGCCATCCAGTCCAACCCCCTGCTAAGAAGAAGGAATATTGCATTCAAAGCACTCCTGACAGATGGCCATCCAGCCTCTGTTTAAAAGCTTCCAAAGAAGGAGCCTCCACCACACTCCGGGGCAGAGAGTTCCACTGCTGAACGGCTCTCACAGTCAGGAAGTTCTTCCTCTTATTCAGATGGAATCTCCTCTCTTGTAGTTTGAAGCCATTGTTCCATTGCGTCCTAGTCTCCAAGGAAACAGAAAACAAGCTTGCTCCCTCCTCCTCCCTATGACTTCCTCTCACATATTTATACATGGCTATCATATCTCCTCTCAGCCTTCTCTTCTTCAGGCTAAACATGCCCAGCTCCTTAAGCCGCTCCTCATAGGATTTGTTCTCCAGACCCTTGATCATTTTAGTCGCCCTCCTCTGGACACATTCCAGTTTGTCAATCTCTCTTGAATTGTGGTGCCCAGAATTGGACACAATATTCCAGGTGTGGTCTAACCATGGCAGAATAGAGGAGTAGCTTTACTTCCCTAGAACTAATACCTTCCCTTTGGAAAGAGTATTATGGGCGAATGAGCATAATAATAAGGGAGATGTTGACAAGCTGGAATGTGTCCAGAGGAGGGCAACTAAAATGATGAAGGGTCTGGAGAACAAGCCCTATGAGGAGTGGCTGAAAGAGCTGGGCATGTTTAGCCTGCAGAAGAGAAGGCTGAGAGGAGACATGATGAGGGTCATGGATCAAGATGTGAGAGGAAGTCATAGGGAGGGGAAGCAGGCTTCCTTTCTGCTGCCCTAGAGACTAGGACACAATGGAGCAATGGCTTCAAATTACAGGAAAGAAAGGAGATTCCACCTGAACATTAGGAAGAACTTCCTGACTGTGAGAGCTGTTCAGCAGTGGAATTCTCTCTCTGTCCCAGAGGCTCCTTTGGAGGCTTTTAAGATTTAGGCTCACTGCGCCCCCCAACCTCTGCAAAGGTGGAGGACCCATTAAGTTGGTCCGCCCCAGGAGGCTTATGGATCCGAATGGATTCCTGACGGCTCTTGGGGATTTTCCCGCCACCTCGGTAGGTGACCCTGTCGAGGCCTTGGTCGCTCTCTGGAATGGAGATGGCCAGGGCAATTGACACGATCGCTCCGGAACGTCCCCTCTCAAGTAGCCGAGCTAAACCAGCTCCTTGGTTTACTGAGGAGCTGGCAGTGATGAAGCGAAGGAAGAGGGAACTAGAGAGCGTGTGGCGTTCGGATCCGAGCGAGTCAAATCGAACACGGTTTGTGTCCTTTTAAGGGCATATGCCGCGGCAATAAAAGCCGCAAAGAAAACTTTCTTTGCGGCTACTATTGCATCTGCAAGGAACCGTCCGGCGGAGTTGTTCCGGATTGTCAGAGGTCTTTTAACTCCCGCCACCTCAGGCGGGAGCCCTGACAATTCGGCCACGCGCTGTGAAGCATTTGCTCGGTTCTTTGCAGACAAAGTCGCCTTGATCCGTTCTGGTCTGGACACCATGTTAAATGCAGTCTCTGAGGATGTAACAAGAGCACCTGCTTGTCCTATTTTGATGGATTCTTTTCAGTTTGTGAAACCCGAGGATGTGGACAAGATACTTGGAGGAATGAGGCCCACCACGTCCATCCTAGACCCCTGCCCATCCTGGCTTCTGAAGAAGGCCAGAGGGGGATTGGCTGAGTGGGTAACAGTGGTGGTTAATGCCTCCCTTCGGGAAGGCAAAATTCCAGCGAGCTTAAAACAAGCTATTATAAAACCGCTGTTGAAGAAACCATCATTGGACCCCACTAAATTAGACAACTTTCGGCCTGTTTCCAATCTCCCCTTTTTGGGCAAAGTCATGGAAAGCGTGGTGGCCTCACAACTCCAGGTATTCTTGAGAGACACGGATTATCTGGATTCAGCACAGTCTGGTTTCAGACCGGGACATGGAACTGAGACGGTCTTGGTCGCCTTAGTGGATGATCTGCGCCGGGAGCTAGACAGGGGGAGTGTGTCCCTGTTGGTGCTCCTGGACCTCTCAGCGGCCTTCGATACCGTCGACCACGGTATCCTTCTGGGGCGCCTTGCGGAAATGGGCCTCGGGGGCACTGTTCTGCAGTGGCTCCGGTCATTTCTGGAGGGCCGCACCCAGAAGGTGTTATTGGGGGACACCTGTTCAACGCCACAGCCTTTGACTTGTGGGGTTCCTCAGGGTTCAATACTGTCCCCCATGTTGTTTAACATCTACATGAAGCCGCTGGGCGAGATCATCCGGAGTTTCGGAGTGCGATGTCATCTGTACGCAGATGATGTCCAACTCTGTCACTCCTTTCCACCTGCTACTAAGGAGGCTGTCGAGGTCCTGAACCGGTGCCTGGCCGCTGTGATGGTCTGGATGAGGGCGAACAAATTGAAGTTGAATCCAGACAAGACAGAGGTCCTCCTGGTCAGTCGCAAGGCCAAACGGGGTATAGAGTCACAACCTGTGCTGGACGGGGTCACACTTCCCTTGAAAGCACAGGTTCGCAGCTTGGTAGTTCTGGACTCATCACTGAGCCTGGATCCCCAGGTTTCAGCGGTGACCAGGGGAGCATTTGCACAGCTTAGGCTCGTGCGCCAGCTGCGCCCGTACCTTGGGAAGTCTGACTTGGCCACGGTGGTACACGCTTTGGTCACATCCCGCTTTGACTACTGCAATGCTCTCTACGTGGGGCTGCCCTTGAAGACGGCCCGGAAGCTTCAGCTAGTCCAGCGCGCGGCAGCCATGTTACTAACAGGAGCGGGACGCAGGGAGCACACAACGCCCTTGTTGTTCCAGCTCCACTGGCTGCCGATCTGCTACCGGGCCCAATTCAAGGTGCTGGTGTTGGCCTACAAAGCCCTAAACGGTTCCGGCCCAAAATACCTTTGACCGCATCTTGGCCTATGAGCCCACGAGGACCTTGAGATCGTCTGGGTAGGCCCTTCTCTCGATCCCGCCTGCCTCACAGGCACGCCTGGCGGGGACGAGGAGATAGGGCCTTCTCGGTGGTGGCCCCCCGGCTGTGGAACACCCTCCCTGTAGACATCAGACAGGCGCCCTCCCTTATGACATTCCGCAAGAGCCTAAAGACGTGGTTGTTTGAGAAGGCGTTTGACTAAGTGCTACAACAAATTGGCAATGATGAGTGGAACGGAATATGGATAACGAGATTGGATTGTGATTCTATGATGAGACGTCGCGAATGATTTAGTGTAATGGTATTATTAATAGTGATGTTGTTATTGTTGTTTATGATATTGCTTTCATTGTAAATTGTCTTTTTATATGTTGTACACCGCCGTGAGTCGCCCTAGGGCTGAGAACGGCGGTCAACAAATGCAGTAAATAAATAAATAAATAAGTAGAGGCTGGATATCCATCTGTCAGGTGTGCTTTGAATGTGATTTTCCTGCGTCTTGGCAGAATGGGGTTGGACTGGTTGGTCAACGAGGTCTCTTCCAATTCTAGGATTCTATGATTCCAGGAATACTATTCTTTGTAGGGATACAAATAGTAAGTCAGCAAATTCCCACACACATTTTGTGCAAGTTCTTTAAGAAAGTACAAAGAGCCTGCCACTCAGATTTGCTAATAAGTTCTAGAATGGTGAGTGGAATCACTGGGTAGATCTGTGCATTTCTCCTGTGCACTGGATGTGTATTGCAAAATTAGAGAGAAGACTGTTTTTCAATTCAGACCACTTCTCATTTTAAGTTCCTGCTCTCCCCCAGCGCTTCCACACAAATAAACTGTTTAGAATTGGAATCATAGATTGTTGTAGGTTTTTCGGGCTATACGGCCATGTTCTAGAGGCATTCTCTCCTGACGTTTCGCCTGCATCTATGGCAACCATCCTCAGAGGTAGTGAGGATCAGAGGATGCTTGCCATAGATGCAGATGAAACGTCAGGAGAAAATGCCTCCAGAACATGACCATATAACCCAGAAATACCTACAACAACCCAGTGATTCTGGCCATGAAAGCCTTCGACAATACATGGAAACATAGAGTGGAAAAGTCCCCCAAGGCCATCCAGTCCAACCCCAGGAATACATAAAGCAGTCCTGAGAGATGTTGATTATGTTGTGAAGACAGACATATTGGACACAAGGAGTTTAGGCACTGAAGGGTGAATGTGAGAGGTTTTTAGTACAATATGCAGATATTTCAGAACTAATGCTTGGATTCTGATTTCCCATAAGAAAGGGAAGATTTCCAGTAACAAGTGATCTGGAATGAGAAGGCCACTGAAGTGTACAATCCATATGTGTGCCTGGCTTTTCTATGGGTTTAATTTATATATGTGCTTCTGGAGAAAGACAGAATGTGAATTAAGTAATCTATATACATAAAAATGTAGTGTTTCTTTGTGGGATTAACATAATTTAAAAACCATTGGACAAATTGACACCAAATTTGGACACAATATACCTATCAGGCCAACGAGTGACTATCACTCATAAAAACTGAAAAAACGCAGCAGAAGGGACTTCAAAAGCAAAAAAACAAAACAAAACAAAAACATTACAACACATGAGCAAAATTATATATATAGATGCAAATACACATATATACATAAATATACACACACACAAAGCACATATATTCAGACTGGGCTACAGCAACGCGTGGTGGGACGGCTAGTAAGTAATAATGATAATTGTTCTGTCGCGCGCTGGGCCTGTAACAGCTGTCTTTTCTATAGGACGTATACTTTAAGCCCAGCGGGAAGCCATGGGTGCCTCAAAGAGAGATTCTCAGGGATTTTTCTGAAGTGATGGTCTTTAGAGTGTTTAATGAAAGTCTTTATTATGGAACAAACAACAAATCTTCAATGGTTCAAACAACACTTCAAGGCTTTCTTAGTCTAGTCCTCAATGGATTGGTACCTGACTTTGATTAACTGTACTTTCTCTGTAAGAAAAACCCCTATTTAACCTCTCCCAGGCTGTTTACTATCTATGCCTCATCGATGTGGGTCCTACTACCGATTCCAAATGTGTCTGGGTATCGAGTAGACCTACCAGCTGAGGTTTGTAGATATTTCAGCTGGAGTTCAGTGGATCTGTAATACTGTTCTCCCTCTGAGAATTCTTTGAAAACTTCAGGGCTGTTTTCCCTCTGATTGCTGTGAGGCTGAGAGACTGTGAGCTCTCAGCCAGAGCCTTGGGACCTTTCCCCTGGAATTTCTGTTACTGTTTCCCTGGATGTTCTTGAGAAAAGAAGCTTTTCTATGGGAGGAGCAGGTCTACGTCTTATCGTTTAGCTTCCTTATGTGAGACTGACCAAAAAATGGCTCCTTTCCCTTCCAGAGCCCTGAACAAGGGGCAGAACCAAAGCTTAATTATGATGGACAGGTGGCCTGCCCTATGACTGCAAACAGATAACAGAATGAAAATAAAGTTGGAGCTCCTGGTACAGCCGTGCCAGAACAATAATGATAACAAAAATGGCAATAATATCTAGACCAGGCATGGGCAAACTTTGGCACTCCCGCCAGGTGTTTTGGACTTCAGCTCCCACAATTCCTAACAGCCTACTGGTTGTTAGGAAATGTGGGAATTGAAATCCAAAACACCGGGAGGGAATGTCAAAGTTTGCCCATGTCTGCTTTAAGGTCACTATAAGTTAGAAATGACTTGAAGACACCCGACAATAAAATACCATAACACGGTTTTTAAAAATATTTCCAGAACTCAAGAAGAGGCCCAAAAAAGTCTTTGCATCTCCAGTTAGACCGTGCCATTCTCCAGTTCTAAAAGGCAAGTCAGATGGGCTCTCATGGGAACAGGAAGATGTGGAAGTGAAAGAGGCGCCCGATCTTCTGAGCCATGCTGCAGGTGATGGATTGTCAACCGGACCCATGAAAGCTGGCAAAACCCCAAATAAGAGGAAGAAGGAGGGAACTTCTAGGAAGAAAGATTCAGACATGTCCAAAGAGGTGAGTGGAAGCATATGTTTTGCTGCCTTGAGAGGAAGGATTACCAAGTCAAATCTATATCACAGAACATGCTCTGGAGTTCTGGCACTTCATCCTTGGTGGCGGAGCCCCCGGTGGCGCAGTGGGTTAAACCCTTGTGCCGGCAGGACTGAAGACCAACAGGTCGCAGGTTCAAATCCAGGGAGAGGCGGATGAGTTCCCTCTATCAGCTCCAGCTCCTCATGCAGGGACATGAGAGAAGCCTCCCACAAGGATGATAAAAACATCAAATCATCCTGGCGTCCCCTGGGCAATGTCCTTGCAGACAGCCAATTTTCTCTCACCAGCAGCTACTTGCAGTTTCTCAAGTCGCTCCTGACGCGACCAAAAAAAAAAAAAATCCTTGGTGGCTCGGAAGAGGAACTGGAACCCAACTTGCATTCTTTCCTCCCCATAAAAAGGGACTCTTCATGCACAGCTTTCGTAATGCCGTTCCACATTTTAAATCCTGTGATTCCACTATCTGCCATGCCTGCATCCTTTGGAATAGTGGGGAGGCAAGGGAGCATTCTCTCTCTGGGCAAATCTTGAAGGAGTGCCTTTTCCTATAAGTCCATGCCAGAGAATCATGCCTTTCTGCCACCAGTGAGATCAATGCACTAAATGCAAGAACATGAGAGGCCCCTTTAACACTTTTTTTCCCGTGTCAGGAGTGACTTGAGAAACTGCAACTCACTTCTGGTGTGAGAGAATTGCCGTCGGCAAGGATGTTGCCCAGGGGACGTTCCAAATGTTTTGATTTTTGACCATCCTTGTGGGATGCTTCTCTCATGTTCCCGCATGGGGAGCTGGAGCTGACAGAGGGAGCTCATCCATGCTCTCCCTGGATTTCAATTTAAAACCTGTCAATCTTCAATCCTGCTGGCACAAGGGTTTAACCACTGGGAGCTCCTTTCACACTGCTGCTATATCCCAGGATCTGATCCCAGATTATCTTCTTATCCCAGATTATCTGGAAGTGGAGAGTCTGGCCCTTCTACATATCTGTCTAAAATCCAGATTATCTGCTTTGAACTGATTTATGTGGCAGTTTTGACTCAGATAATCCAATTCAAAGCAGACGATGTGGATCATCTGTTTTGATAACCTGGATTATATGGCAGTGTAGATGGAGCCTCTGATCTCGAGAGTGAAAGCAACTGATTTTAAATATGAATTTTATTGTTATTAAATACAGTATAAGAAAAACACAAATGTTTCAATATACATACTGTTGGTCTGAAAGATGTTTTAGCTGGTTATGTCCTGGAAGTTCTTGGAAAGATACACTGGAAAGATGCACTGCCTTTATATTATTGACTAGCTGTGCCCTGCCACGCGTTGCTGTGGCCTATAGTAAGAATTTTCAAAGTAGAGGTAGATATCTGAACTATTATGAAAGAGAGTCGCCTATATTCCTTCCCCCCTTTTTCTTCCCCTTACACTTTCTCTCCTTTCTTCCTTCTCTGCCTCTTTTTTCATTCCTTCTTTTGCTCTTTGATTTCATCCTCCCTTCTTTCCTTCCTTCCCCCTTTCTCTCCTTCTTCCTTTGTCTCCTTTCTTCCCTCCCTGTTTCCTTCCTTCTTTCACTTTTTATTTCCTTTTCTCCTTCATCCCTTCTTTACCTCTTTCCTGCCTTTCCTCCCCCTTTTCTTTCCTTTCTACTTTGTATTCTTCCTTCCTTCAGTACCTCTTTCTTTCTTTCCTTCCTTCTCTCCCTTCCTTCCCTCTTCCCTCCTTCCTTCTTTCCCTCCCTCCTTCTCTCTCTCCTTCCTCCCCCCTTTCCCTCCTACATTCCTTCCCTTTTTCCCTTCCTCCTTTCTTCTCTCATTCTTTCCTGTCTGTTCTCCCGCAATACTATCGTAGAATCCCTTCTAACTCTATTCTATGAGTCTATTTAATATAGTAATATTTTGAATTTAAAGGTGTTTTTGTCGCGTTTTTTTTCAGTGATGGTCACTCCTTGGATTGTGAGGAGTTTTGTTGCCAAATTTGGGGTCATTTGGCCCATTAGTTTTTTTGTTTTTAAGGTACTCATTACGCACAGAGCATTTTTATATATGTAGATTACATGGTAGTGTAGAAGGGCCCTCAGAATCCAATTTGAAGCATATAATCTGGGATCAGATCCTGGGATATATAGCAACGTAGAAGGGGCCAGAGAGGGCCTTTTCAGCTGTGGCTCCTTAATAGTGGAATGCTCTCCACTGGGAAGCTGAATACTGATTTTGTTTTTGTGCCAAGTACAACATACCATAGTTGTTTGATATAATCTTTAGGCTGATTTATCCCCAAATGGTAATACACATCATTTCAAAATGTTCTAATCTTTTAAAGCTTTTGCTTCCCTGTCCAGCTTCCACAGCTCTGCACAGAAACTGGAAATACGGTGGCAGGGGTAATCCTGACGTTAATATTCAAAGATCTGTCTTTGCACTTCAGGCGCTTGTCTAATTCCTTCATTCCTTCTTGTATTAACTCCTTTGCATATTCATGAAGCAGATCCCGAGCCAGTTCTTATATTCCAGGCAAGTTGGTGAAGGAAGCAGGTGGTTCTTGAAGTTGCTAGGTCTCAAGACCATTTCATTAATACTTGTGTCTGCTGCTCTTATTAATTTTGTTCATTTGGGCTTTGCATTTCTTCTAATACTCAGACTCACATTATTATTTTTAAAAAGAAGGAAAGAAAAAGTATTTTTGAACTGTTGAAGGCTTTCATGGCCGGAATCACTGGGCTGTTGTTGGTTTTTTCGGGCTATAGGGACATGTTCTAGAGCAGTGTTTCTCAACCTTCCTAATGCTGTGACCTGTTAATAGAGTCCCTCATGTGGTGGTGACCCCCAACCAGAACATTATTTTTGTTGCAACTTCGTAACAGTAATTTTGATACTGTTATGAATCGTGATGTAAATATCTGATCTGCAGGATGTATTTTCAAATCCCAAATACCCAATATGCCCAAATTTGAATACTGGTGGGATGGGGGTGATTGATTTTGTCATTTGGGAACGTTAGAGTTGCTGGGATTTATAGTTCACCTACAATCAAAGAGCCTTCTGAACTCCACCAATGATGGAATTGAATCAAACTTGGCACACAGAATTCCCATGACCAAGAGAAAATACTGGGAAGGTCTGGTGGACATTGACCTTGAGTTTTTGGAGTTGTAGTTCACCTACATCCAGAGAACACTGTGGACTCAAGCAGTGATGGATCTGGACCAAACTTGGCACGGATACTCAATATGCACATATGTGAACACTGGTGGGGTTTGGGGAAAAATAGACCTTGACATGTGGGAGTTGTAATGGGGTTTATACTTCACTTACAATCAAAGAGCATTCTGAAGCCCAACAACGATAGAATTGGGCCAAACTTCCCACACAGAACCCCCACGAGCAACAGAATATACTGTGTTTTCTGATGGTCTTTGGCGACCCCTATGACACCCCCTCGTGACCCCCACAGGGGTCCCGACCCCCAGGTTGAGAAACACTGTTCTAGAGGCATTCTTTCCTGACGTTTCGCCTGCATCTATGGCAAGCATCCTCAGAGGTAGTGAGGTCTGTTGGAACTAGGAAAATGGGTTTATATATCTGTGGAATGACCAGGGTGAGACAAAGAACTCTGGTCTGCTGGAGCTAGGTGTGAATGTTTCAACTGACCACCTTGATTAGCATTAAAGGCCTGGCAGCTCAGCTTCTGCCAATCTAGAATCATAGAATCAAAGAGTTGGAAGAGACCTCCTGGGCCATCCAGTCCAAGCCCATTCTGCCAAGAAGCAGGAATATTGCATTCAAATCACCCCTGACAGATGGCCATCCAGCCTCTGTTTAAAAGCTTCCAAAGAAGGAGCCTCCACCACACTCCGGGGCAGAGAGTTCCACTGCTTAACGGCTCTCACAGTCAGGAAGTTCTTCCTCATGTTCAGATGGAATCCTTTGTTGGGAGGTGATTAGCTGGCCCTGATAGTTTCTTGTCTGGAATTCCCTGTTTTTTGAGTGTTGCTCTTTATTTCCTGTCCTGATTTTAGAGTTTTTAAAATGCTGGTAGCCAGACTTTGTTCATTTTCATGGTTTCCTCCTTTCTGTTGAAATTCTGTTGTGGATTTCAATGGCTTCAAAAAACAGGGGAATTCATGCTAATGCTTTTATGTTAAGCCTCTTTGAGTCTCCTTTGGGAGAGTTACAGTGGGGTTTAAATAAACTAGCTGTCCCCTGCCATGCGTTGCTGTGGCCCAGTCAGGTGATCAGGAAAATAAAGTAATGGTTTCTAATATATGTCATGTCTTTCTGCTTGTGAGTAAACAGTATTTCTTGCTGTTTCTTTGTCAGTGTTGATGTGGAGATTGTCTGGTTTGCCCACCCTGGAACATGCAACATATCACTGTCCTTCTTTAAGGGTCCCTTTCAAATCTATGATACTATATCTCTCTCAGTGTGAATCATATCTATATCTGTGGCTGGATGGCTTTTTGTCAGGAGGGCTTTGATTACGTTTTCTTGCCCTGATGAAGGGAGTTGGATTGGATGGCCTTAAGTATTTTCCGTTGGTCATGGGGGTTCAGTGTGGGAAGTTTGCCTCAATTCTGTCATTGGTGGGGTTTAGAATGCTCCTTGATTGTAGATGAACTGTGAATCCCAGTGACTACAACTCCCAAATGTCAAATTCTACTTCTTCCAAACTCCATCTGTGTTCATATTTGGGTGTATTGAGTGCTTGTATCAAGTTTGGTCCAGATCCATCATTGTTTGAGTCCACAGTGCTGTCTGGATGTAGGTGAACTACAACTCCCAAACTCTAGGTCAATGCCCACCAAACCCTTCCAATATTTTCTGTTGGTTATGGGAGTTCTGTGTGCCAAGTTTAGTTCAATTCCATCGTTGATGGAGTTCAGAATGCTCTTTGATTGTAGGTGAACTATAAATCCTAGCAACTACAACTCCCAAATGACAAAATCATAATTTTTGAGTGATGGTCACTCCTTGTGTGGTGAGATGTTTTGTTGCCAAATTTGTTGTGATTTCGTTCATTGGTTCTTTTGTTTTTAAGGTACTCATTATGCACAGAGCGTTTTTATATATATAGATGTAATAATAATAATAAATACAAATTAAAATCAATTTTTATAATATAGTAAAATCAGTTTTTTATTGCAGTGTAAAAAGAATTTTTGTTTACAACTTATTTGAGTGTACTTGTTACTTTGATGTGAGCCATATTGAACTTGTAGCAGAAGAGAGGCAGGACAATATTAATGAATGAATTAAAACATTGTTTCTTGAGTATTTTATACTTCTATTATTTTATCCTTTGTAGCTACTTTTTGTATCTGTTTTGTGTGTATGAACTGCTTTGGTTGTTTTTCCTTAAAAGCAGTGTGATGCAAAAAAAAGTTTTGAAAGAAACGAGTAGGTAACTAGTGCACTGAGAACAAAAAAACGAGGCCAGCCTCCCTCCACTGTTGGTTTGGCACTAAATGGACGCTTGCCGGCCACGTTTTGGCCCAACTGAAGTTTCCCAAGCGCCCCACTGTCCTCTGTTCGCTGGGTGCCTGTGTTTGTCGTGCAACAACAGGGCTCATTGTTGTGATATGACTGCTTTGTTTGCTCATCCCTTGGCAGAATGAAGGTTGCCTCACTGACGCACAGTTTGAGAAGATTTTCCAGAGCGTGCTTCAGAGGCCTTTGCAGGACTGCATTGGTATGTTGACACAGCGAGGAAGAGGGCGCATGTGTTCACTCAATTTATATCACACCTCTCTGCCCAGAAAAAGTTGAGGGGGGCAGTGGAAAGAGGTGCCATAACAACACAGTGGGAGCTATAGGCACAAAGTAGTGCATGTAGCCAGTTATCCTTTTAGTAAGGTTTGTACTTCCAAGGAGCCACTGTGGGTTAAACCACTGAGTTGCTAAACTTGTTGCCCAAAAGATCACAGGTTCGAATCCAGGGAGTGGCGTGAGCTTCTGCTGTCAGCCTCAGCTTCTGCCAACTTAGCAGTTCAAAAACATACAAAGGTGAGTAGATCAATAGGAACCTCTCCAGCGGGAAGGTAAAGGCGCTCCATGCAGTCATGCCAGCCACATGACCTTGGAGGTGTCTATGGATAACGCCGGTTCGTTGGCATAGAAATGGAGATAAGCACCAACCCCCAGAGTCGGACACAGCTGGACTTAATGTCAGGGAAAAACCTTTACTTTTACCTATGGTCAGTAGCCCTCTCAGCAAGGAGTGCTGGGGCTTCGCCAAGCTACAACTCCCAGGATTCCCTAGTCTTGATCCATGGCAGTTAAAGCAGTATCAAGCTGCATTAATCCTACAGTGCAGATGCACCCAAAGTCCTTCCAAAAACAACTGCCGTAAGAAATCCTTACCAAAGGACTCAATGTCAGGGGAAAACCTTTACCTTTACTTTACTTGTACTTCCAAGCTTTATACAGGACAAATATTGAGTGGGTAAGGCAGGCATGGACAAACTTCAGCCCTCCAGGTGTTTTTTTATTTTTTATTTTTTAAATAGTTTTTATTAGGGTTTTTCACAATATACATTAAAATATAGGGGGAAGGTAATTTCTGGGAAAGACCAGGGTAGATATAGGGAGGAAAAGTGGGGCAGGGCTAGTTAAAAGAAAAGATATATATATATATATATATATATATATATATATATATATATATATATATAGGGAAATGTGGGAAGAGGTTTAAATTGAGGAAAGGGAAAGGCAAAAATAGGGGGGAGGGGGGGGGTTGACTTCCCAATCTTCTTCTCTGCATCGCCATCTTCCTCTCTTTGTATTTATTTCTTCTTTGCTCTGGCGGCTCACCTTTCTAGATGTAGTTTTCCAGAGACTTTACTTTGTTTTATCCTATTTTCCTCTATTTCGTCGCTTCTGGTAGGTAGTAATCAACCGAGTTTTCATATAGTCTTCATAAAGTCTTCAAACTGTTTCCAGTCAGTTCTTCTTATTGGTTTTCCCGTATAATCTTTCAAATAAAAGGTCAATTTGCCCATATCCTTTATTTCCCAAACTTTATTTAACCATTCTTCTATTGTGCTCAAGTCCTTGAGCGTAAATAATTCTAGCAGTCCTCCAGGTGTTTTGAACTTCAACTCCCACAATTCCTAACAGCCGCTCTTAGGAACTGTGGGAGTTGAAACACCTGGAGGGCTGAAGTTTGGCAATGCCTGCTCTATCAGACTTGTGCCAAGCAGCTGTGGTGTTGAACGATCATGGAAATAACTACTTACTTCTAAGAAGTAAGTCAGAAGTTGGAAATAACGCCATACTTCTGACAAAACCGCTCGCTAGGCAGAACTCTAACTTTCTCAGCTCCTCCACCCACCAAATATATCTTTATATTGTACCTTGCAGTTGGTCTAAACATCCCAAAGGTACCAGATTCCACTGATTTTGGAAGCTTAGCAGGTTTCTTAGTACTTAGATGGGAAACCCCCCACAAAGACCAGGTGCAGGATGCTGTGTTTCAGAGGAAGGAACTGGTAAAAAAATCCCTCTGAGTATACTTGTCCCAAGAAAACCCTTTGAAATCCATGGGGTCATCATAAGTAAACAGATGTCTTGAAGTTTACATACACATGTGCATTGCAATTAGATTGTAACTTAACAAAGGGCAACATCACCCCTTGCCTTTTAATGGTGTACCTCTTTGGCCCCTTCTACACTGCCATATAATCCAGATTTATTTATTTATTGATATTCCGCCCTTCTCACCCCAAAGGGCACTCAGAGCGGATCGCAGAACACATATATGGCAAACATTCAATGCCGTTATACATTGACAAGACAGATAATTGTACATAGATTGAGGTATATATAGACTTTCCCATCTTCGGCATCTTGGAGGCTGTGCTTGGTTCCAGCCACGGGGGGTGTTGTCGCTCTACTTTCCCTGCCAAAGAGCTTTGTTTGTAAATTTCCTCCTTGGTTGAATCACCAGCAATTTTCTGGCATTTTCCTTATGGATGCTTTAAATACCTCCCCACTTAAGCGGTAGGCATCCCCGGTGGTGCAATGGGTTAAACCCCTGTGCCGGCAGGACTGAAGACCGACAGGTCGCAGGTTCGAATCCGGCGGATGAGCTCCCTCTATCAGCTCCAGCTCCTCATGCGGGGACATGAGAATAACCTCCCACAAGGATGATAAAACATCAAATCATCCAGGCATCCCCTGGGCAACGTCCTTGCAGACGGCCAATTCTCTCACACCAGAAGCAACTTGCAGTTTCTCAGGTTGCTCCTGACACGACAAAAAAAAAAACTTAAGCGATACTTGTTTATCTACTCACATTGCTGTTTTTTAAACTGCTAGGTAGGCAGAAACTGGGCTAAAGACCAGGAACTCACCCTGACCCGGGCTTCCAACTGTCAACCTTTTGGTTGGCAAGATTTACTACATCTGGCGGTTCACCTACTGTGCTAAATCCACATTATCTGATTTGAACTGGATTATATGAATCTCCACTACCATATCATCCAGTTCAAAGCAGATAATCTGGATTGTATATGGCAGTGTAGAAGGGGCCTTAGTTGCTCTTTCAGTTATAGGAATGCAGCCTTATAATGGGGAAGACTATCAGGTGGCATATGTGTCTTTCTTCCTTGTGAGTGTTAGGAAAACAGCAAGGAGGGATAGAGGATAATGGGATTTGTAGTACAAGTCACTGACCTGTGACATTCCAGTATTTGACTTATTACTAATAAATATATGCAGGTGAAGAGCTGAAATTTGCAACGATGCGATTGCTGGGCTGTAACTGCAGCAGCTTTCATTGTAAAAAATAAATGCCCAGGCTCTGGGAGCGAAGCCTGCAGCCCTGCACTTGCTTAATTTGACGTAAAGCCCACTGAAATCAGCTCACTCCTGGATAAATTAGCGCTCTCCAGGGTGTTTTGAGCAATGAAACTTGGGATGTATGTCGGCTTTTGAAGATAACATTCGGAATTAGCAATGATAGTCGCACAAATCTGACATCCACCCATTTTCTTTGTTAAACTTTATGAACTTTTCAGGTCTAGATTATAAAGCTATTTATAGCCGCTGTCATTTCTGTTTCCAGAAAACTCTGGGAGGAAAGGTTTCTCTGCAGAGCCTCCAGAGGAAAAAGGCCCGGGGAGGTGAGTGCTGCCAGCCTGCTTGCTCTGGAACTGACTCGGTCACAATTTTATTTATTTATTTATTTGCAGCATTTCTATTCCGCCCTTCTCCTCACCCCACAGGGGACTCAGGGCGGATTAGAGTGTACACATATATGGCAAACATTCAATGCCAATTTTGACATACAAACATATACAGACATACACAGAGGCTATTTAACTTTTTCTGGCCGCCAGGGGAGCTGTCGCTTTCCTCGTCCATCTGCAACACTGATGAAGCACTTTCCGCATTCCCCGCATGCTTCCCCGCTGGAATGCTTTGCTGGAGTCTTCTTTATGGCCTCATAAATCAGTTAATTTAGCCTCCCCACACTTTAAGGTGGTACCTAATTTTCCTACTTGACAGATGCAACTGTCTTTCGGATTGCAAAGGTCGACAACAGGCTCCAACCCGGGCTGGCTTCAAACTCATGACCTTTGGTCAGAGTGATCTTAATGCAGCTGACACTCCCGGTGCAAATATATTGTCTGTACATTCTCAGAAACACCCATCATCCACTGCAGAGTATCTCACCACAAACAAGACAGAATAAGTGAGGGAACTGAGGTTATAGGTAGCAACCATTCTTTGATCTTGTAGGTCTGGTTTTTGGGTCGTATCTGTCAATCATACAGCCTCATCACACTTGAGGAGGAGCTGCGGTAAGGAGGAGTTGCAGTGGCGCAATGGGTTAAACCAGTGGTTCTCAACCTGGGATCTCTAGATGTTTTTGGCCTTCTACTCCCAGAAATCCTGACAGCTGGTAAACTGGCTGGGATTTCTGGGAGTTGTGGGCCAAAAACATCTGGGACCCCAGGTTGAGAACCACTGGGCTAAACCCTTTTGCCGGTTGAACTGCTGACTGTGAGACAGGGCGAGCTCCCATCTGTCAGCTCCAGCTTCTCATGAAAGATGGTAACACATCTAGGCGTCCCCTGGGCAACGTCTCTGAAGACAGCCAGTTCTTTCACACCAGAAGCGACTTGCAGTTTCTCAAGGGTTGGAAAATACCTCCAGGAGCCTCCAATCCGATCCCATTATGCTATGATGGAACACACAATCTAAGCCAACCTAACAGATAGCCATTTATCCTCTGTTTAAAAACACCCAGAGTAGGATCCCACCAGACTGAGGCAGCTGCGTATTTCACCGCTGAACAGCTTGTGCCTGGAGGTTTTTGCTGATGTTTGAATAGAATAGAATATAATAGAATAGAATAGAATATAATAGAATAGAATAGAATAGAATACATTATATAAACATATATAATATATAATATGATACTTGAGTAGAATATAATATATTGTATGTACATATATAGTATAATGTATTATATGTACATGCCAAATAATATTGATCATCATATTATAATACAATAGGATTCTAATAGAATCATAGAATCCTAGAGTTGGAAGAGACCTCATGGGCCATCCAGTCCAACCCCCTGCCCTGCCATTTGCATTCAAATCACCCCTGACAGATGGCCATCCAGCCTCTGTTTAAAAGCCTCCAAAGAAGGAGCCTCCACCACATTCCGGGCAGAGAGTTCCACTGCTGAACGGCTCTCAGTCAGGAAGTTCTTCCTCATGTTCAGATGGAATCTCCTTTCTTGTAGTTTGAAGCCATTGCTCCATTGCGTCCTACTCTCCAGGGCAGCAGAAAACAAGCTTGCTCCCTCCTCCTCCCTGTGGCTTCCTCTCACATATTTATACATGGCTATCATATCTCCTCTAAACATGCCCAGCTCCTTAAGCCGCTCCTCATAGGGCTTCTTCTCCAGACCCTTGATCATTTTAGTCGCCCTCCTCTGGACATATTCCAGCTTGTCAGCATCTCTCTTCAATTGTGGTGCCCAGAATTGGACACAGTGTGATTCCAGGTGTTGTCTAACCAAGGCAGAATAGAGCATGGGGAGCATGACTTCCCTAGATCTAGACACTGTGCTCCTATTGATGCAGGTCAAAATAATGTCATATTACTAATAATATTGCAGTATAGTGGTATAGTACAATATCGTAATGTATAATACTGATATTGTACTATGCTAATAATATAATATACTGTATGTACATATAACTTGTAAGCCGCTCTGAATTCTCTTCGGGGTAAGAGAGAGCGGGAAATAAATATATTAAATAAATAAATAATAAATAATATAATTTATTTTCCTGCAGTTATTTCCTAATCTCTGGAGCAGCACACAGCAAGCTTGCCCTCCCCCCGCCCCCAATACGACCTCATTTCCAATATTTAAACATAGTTGTTATGTACCCTCTCAGCCCTCTCTTCCCCAACGCAAACACCCTCAGCTCCTTCCTCCATTCCTTAGAGCAGGGGTTCTCAACCTTCCTAATGCCGTGACCCCTTAATCCAGTCCCTCATGTTGTGGTGACCCCCAACCATAATATTGTTTTCGTTGCTACATCATAACAGTCATTTTCCTACTGTTATAAATCATAATGTAAATATCTGATATGCAGGATGCATTTTCATTCACTGGACCAAACTGGGTACAAATGCCCAAATATACCCAAATGTGAATGCTAGTGCGGTTGGGGGAGGATTGATTTTGTAATTTGGGAGTTGTAGTTGCTGGGATTTATAGTTCACTTATAATCAAAGAGCATTCTGAACTCCACCAGCGATGGATTTGAACCAAACTTGGCTCCCATGACCAATGGAAAACACTGGAAGTGTTTGATGGCCACTGACCTTGAGTTTGGCAGTTGTAGTACACCTATCTACAGAGACACTAGCTGGAACACCTCAGCAAGTGCGAGTCCAAAAGTGGCAGGCTCAACACCAGAAGCACTCCAAGTGGCCAGCTACTGGTCAAAGGACATTTAATCAACTACCAAACTCACAAATTTTGTATTCTGTCTGTTTGCTTTGTTCTGTTAGAAATGTAATATAATTGACTGGTTACCCTGACACGACAAATAAATAGTTCACCTATATCCAGAGAGCACTGTGGACTCATGCAATGGTGGATCTGGACCAAACTTGGCACGGATACTCAATATGCCCAAATGTGAAGACTGGTGGAGTCTGGGGAAAATAGATCTTGACATTTGGGAGTTGTAGTTGCTGGGATTTATAGTTCATTACAATCAGAGAACATTCTGAACTCCACCAACGATAGAATTGGCTCAAACTTCCCACATGGAATCCCCATGACCATCTTATGGTCTTTGGTGTTTTCTTATGGTCTTTGGTGACCCCTCTGACACCCCCTCGCGACCCCCTCAGGGGTCTCGACCCCCAGGTTGAGAAACACTGCCTTAGAGGGATTCATGATTTCTAGACATTGACTATTTTGGTCGTTTTTCTGTGGGTACATTCCAGCTTATCAAAGTCCTTCTTGAATCATCTTCCATATGATGAAGTAATGGAGGCTTACTTTCTGTCAGTCTGGCCTAACTGGCAGAAATATTGTAAATCCGTTTTGCCAGAATGCCTCCCTTATCAAGCACAACTTGGAATGATAAAAGCTTCACCTGGCCATGTTCCTATGCTACTGTAAATCTCATAGGAGTCTGCCAAAGACTGACCTTGGAAATCCAGATGGCAAACAGAAAAGAAAAATAAGAAAAGTAAGAATCATACACTCAGTTTCATGTGAAGCGGCTTGCGTCTGTTTTAAGAGAGCAGGGAATATAGAAATGTGGAAGAAGCAGATAAGAAATGAAATCTTGGGCAGGGTGTGCCTGTCAGTCTTTGTTAGCCTCTAGACCAGCGTATCTCATCCTGGGAGTTAGGGCCCCTAGGGGGGTTGTGAGGGGGGTGTCAGAGGGGTCGCCAAAGACTGTTGGTCATGGGGGTTCTGTGTGGGAAGTTTGGTTCAATTCTGTAGTTGGTGCGGTTCAGAGCATTCTTTGATTGTAGGTGAACTATAGATCCCAGAAACTACAACTCCCAATGTAAAGGTCTATTTTCCCCCAGACTTCACCAGTGTTCACATTTGGGCATATTGAGCATTTGTGCCAAGTTTGGTCCAGATCCATTGGTTTTTAAATGCGTCGTGTTATTGTTATTGTTTTTTCTTATTTTGCTATGAGTTTTTGTATTGTTTTTGTATTATTGCTGTTATTGTTATTGTTGTATTGTGGGCTCGGCTTCATGTAAGCCGCACCGAGTCCCTCGGGAGATGGTAGCGGGGTACAAATAAAGTCTTCTTCTTGTTGTTGTTTGAGTCCACAGTGTTCTGTGGATGTAGGTACATTACAACTCCAAACTCAAGGTCAATGCCTACCAAGCCCTTCCAGTATTTTCTGTTGGTCATGGGAGTTCTGTGTGCCAAGATTGGCACAATCTCATCATTGGTGGAGTTCAGAATGCTCTTTGATTGTAGGTGAAATAGCAATCCTAGCAACTACAACTCCCAAATAATAAAAATCAATCTCCTCTTAACCTCACCAGTATTCAAATTTGGGCGTATCAGGTATTTGTGCCAAATTTGGTCCAGTGAATGAAAATCCATCCTGCATATCATAGAATCCTAGAATCCTAGAGTTGGAAGAGACCTCCTGGGCCATCTAATCCAAACCTATTCTGCCAAGAAGCAGGAATATTGCATTCAAAGCACCCCTGACAGATGGCCATCCAGCCTCTGTTTAAAAGCTTCCAAAGAAGGAGCCTCCACCACACTCTGGGGCAGAGAGTTCCACTGTTGAACGGCTCTCACAGTCACAAAGTTCTTCGTCATGTTCAGATGGAATCTCCTCTCTTGTAGTTTGAAGCCATTGTTCCACTGCGTCCTAGTCTCCAGGGAAGCAGAAAACAAGCTTGCTCCCTCCTCCCTGTGGCTTCCTCTCACATATTTATACATGGCTATCATGTCTCCTCTCAGCCTTCTCTTCTCCAGGCTAAACATGCCCAGCTCCTTAAGCCACTCCTCATAGGGTTTGTTCTCCAGACCCTTGATCATTTTAGTTGACCTCCTCTGGACACATTCCAGCTTGTCAATATCTCTCTTGAATTGTGGTATTTACATTAAGATTCATAACATATCAGATATTTACATTATGATTCATAACAATAGCAAAAACAGTTATGAAGTAACAACAAGAGTAATGTTATGCTTGGGGGCACCACAACATGAGGAACTGTATTAAGGGGTCGCGGCATTAGGAAGGTTGAGAACCAGTGCTTTAGGCCAGGCTCCTCAAACTGTGGCCCTCCAGCTGTTTGGGCCTCCAACTCCCAGAAGCCCTAATGAGCTTGTTCAATTGTCAGAAACTACGGTGAGGTGGATCTGTAATTGGTTAAATGGACGAACCCAGAGGTTGATTCTCCCCAAGGCTTCCTCTTCATCCTGGAAAGAAGTGACGAGCGGAGTGCCATCAGCAGGGTTCCGTCCTGGGCCGGTCCTGCTCAGGACCTTTATTAATGACTTGGATGAAGGGTTAAAAGGCAGGATCATTAAGTTTGCAGACAACACCAAATTGGGAGGGATAGCCAATACTCCAGAGGACAGGAGCAGGATTCAAAACGATCTTGACAGCTTAGAGAGATGGGCCAAAACTAACAAAATGAAGTTCAACAGGGACAAATGCAAGATACTCCACTTTGGCAGGAAAAACGAAATGCAAAGATACAGAATGGGGGACACTGGCTCGAGAGCAGTACGTGTGAAAAAGATCTTGGAGTCTTCGTGGACAACAAGTTAAACATGAGCCAACAATGTGATGTGGCGGCAAAAAAAGCCAATGGGATTTTGGCCTGCATCAATAGGAGCATAGTGTCTAGATCTAAGGAAGTCATGCTACCCCTCTATTCTGCTTTGGTTAGACCACACCTGGAATATTGTGTCCAATTCTGGGCACCACAATTCAAGAGAGATATTGACAAGCTGGAATGTGTCCAGAGGAGGGCGACTAAAATGATCAAGGGTCTTGAGAACAAGCCCTATGAGGAGCGGCTTAAGGAGCTGGGCATGTTTAGCCTGAAGAAGAGAAGGCTGAGAGGAGATATGATGACCATGTATAAATATGTGAGAGGAAGCCACAGGGAGGAGGGAGCAAGCTTGTTTTCTGCTTCCCTGGAGACTAGGACGGGGAACAATGGCTTCAAACTACAAGAGAGGAGATTCCATCTGAACATGAGGAAGAACTGACTGTGAGAGCCGTTCAGCAGTGGAACTCTCTGCCCTGGAGTGTGGTGGAGGCTCCTTCTTTGGAAGCTTTTAAACAGGCTGGATGGCCATCTGTCAGGGGTGCTTTGAATGCAATATTCCTGCTTCTTGGCAGAATGGGGTTGGACTGGATGATGGCCCATGAGGTCTCTTCCAACTCTTTGATTCTATGATTCTAAAATTAGGATGAAGGCCCAAACAACTGGAGGGCCGCAGTTTGAAGATGCATGCTCTAGACCAATCCTTTACAGGACTCCACCTGCATTTCTGTCTCACTTAGAGAACCAAAAGAATTCGCTCCCTGACACCCTGTCCTCACTCCCAAGGCCTCGTTCCATTTATGGAAGGATTATATTGAGTGTTTTGACAAGAGATATTAAAAAGCCAATTACATTTTGTGGGCATGTGTAACTGCTGCTCATCAAAGGGCAGGAAGTGGTATAAATTGCCTTCTGTGTGGGAGTTTTATTTGTCCTGCTGAAGCAGTGAAAACAGTATGGGATTCTCGAAACCATCAGCATTATATTTAGGCAAAGAACGGTGGCAGCAGTGGCAACCGCAGCAGTTTGCAGGCTTGTCAGCATCCCTGCTTGGCCTCGGGGTGGTGCTGGCGTACAGTCCACGGCTCCAGCACATCGGAGGAGGTCCCTGCTGCAGCTTCCCTGTTATCCCCAGGCAAATGTGGGCAAAAGAGCTCTGATCATGTGTTGTTATTGATTTTTGAAGGGAAAAAAAATAGTGAGAGAAGCAGCAGGCGGGAGAGAGGATGCTTAATGCTTTCTGCCCCCATTTCAGTCACGCACATCTCCTCTGAATGCAGATCCCAAAATACCAGTAAACAACATGCCTTTTGGAATCTGTACAAGGGAGAGTGAAAGGAAGAGCCCTTGCACCCACATGTCTCCTTCCTCCTTTCTGGGCTCCCCCCCCCCCCAAGGCATTTCCTTTGGCTTTCACAGGCTGGTTGGCTCCCCAGGGAGGGCAGGAGGAAGGTCTTTGATGTTTCCCATGCGGAGTGATGGGAAGCCAGGGTTACAAGATCATTTTATCTTGTAGAGAAGCTTCTAAACTGGTCTCCTGTGTTCTTGAGGTGGAAATACTAGGAAATGAATTCATACATGTGCATGCCATCTAATGTTTCATGGGTCAAAAAAGGGACACATGTGGCTGAGCAATACTAAGATAGTAAAGGTTGTGAATGAGGAAAAACAGACAATCTAGACCAGCGTATTTTAAAAGGCTTTCATGGCCAGAATCACTGCGCTGTATGACCATGTTCCAGAAGCATTCTCTCCTGATGTTTCACCTGTATCTATGGCAAGTATCCTCAAAGGTTGTGAGTTAGTTTCCCCCTCGATGGATTGTCACCTTGTCATTTTGAGGGGGCTTGCTTGTTCCAATGAACCTGCAGGTGCAATGAATAGAGTAATGCACTCCCAGGAGTGGCTGCAGGGGAGATTCCAGACCCAAAGACCTCAACAGCGGAACAGGGATGAGGGAGCAAGCTTGTTTTCTGCTTCCTTGGAGACTAGGACGCGGAACAATGGCTTCAAACTACAAGAGAGGAGATTCCATCTGAACATTAGGAAGAACGTCCTGACTGTGAGAGCCGTTCAGCAGTGGAACTCTCTGCCCCGGAGTGTGGTGGAGGCTCCTTCTTTGGAAGCTTTGAAACAGAGGCTGGATGGCCATCTCTCAGGGGTGATTTGAATGCAATATTCCTGCTTCTTGGCAGAATGGGGTTGGACTGGATGATGGCCCAGGAGGTCTCTTCCAACTCTTTGATTCTATGATTCTATGATCCTAGGTGGAGGATAACATGGCTGTGAAGGTGGAAGAAGGCTGCAACAGATTGAGAAGCCACTGTCATTGTGAGATAGAGTTTGCCTGATTCCATTGGGAAGGAAGGGATTTTACCTGTCCAAAAGTATCTCCCTCTATGATCCACCACGGAGGTTAAGACCCTCTTGGTCCTGCCTTCTTCACAGGCCTGATTGGTGGGGATGAGAGACAGGGCCTTCTTAGTGGTGGCCCCTCAGCTTTGGAACTCCCTCCCCAGCTAAATCGGATCAGTGCCCTCCCTCCTGACCTTATGGGACCAAGCTTTTGGCTAGCAAGTTAGTGCAATATGAGTATATGGAATTGTGAAATTGCAAAATGACTAATGAAATGGCCCTGGATTTGACTCTGGATAACGTGATCTTAATAATTGTTTTAATATTGCTGTTGAGTTTTGGTTTTAATGTATATGTATTTACTGTATATGTGCTTGGTATCAAATTGCTGCCTCAGCCCTCTTTTTGGAGTGAGAAGGACAGGATATAAATGTAGCAAATATATATATATATATGCATGCTCTGTGCATAATGAGTTCCTTAAAAACAAAAAGAACCAATGAACGAAATCACACCAAATTTGGCAACAAAATGTCTCACAACACAAGGAGTGACCATCACTTAAAAAGTTATTATTTTGTCATTTGGGAGTTGTAGTTCCTGGGATTTATAGTTCAACTACAATCAAAGAGCATTCTGAACTCCATCGACGATGGAATTGAACCAAACTTGGCACACAGAACTCCCATGACCAACAGAAAATACTGGAAGGGTTTGGTGGGCATTGACCTTGAGTTTGGGAGTTGTAGTTCACCTACATCCAGACAGCACTGTGGACTCAAACAATGATGGATCTGGACCAAACTTGGCACAAGCACTCAATATGCCCAAATATGAACACAGATGGAGTTTGGGGGAAATAGACCTTGACATTTGGGAGTTGTAATCACTGGGATTCACAGTTCACCTACAATCAAAGAGCAATCTGAACCCCACAAATGACAGAATCGGGGGCAAACTTCCCACACAGAACCCCCATGAGCAACAGAAAATACTTAAGGCCATCCAATCCAACTCTCTTCATCAGGGCAAGAAAACGTAAACAAAGTCCTCCTGACAAACAGCCATCCAGCCATAGATATAGATAGATGGATTGATAGATAGATAGATAGATAGATAGATAGATATGATTCACACACAGAGAGATATAGTATCATAGATTTGAAAGGGACCCTTAAAGAAGGACAATAATATGTTCCATGTTCCAGAGTAGGCAAACCAGACACTCTCCACATCAACACTGACAAAGAAACAACAAGAAATACTGTTTACCCACAAGCATAAAGAAATTACATATATTAGAAACCAACACTTTCTCATTCCCTTTATTTTCCAGATCAACAGACTGGGCCACAGCAACGCGTGGCAGGGGACAACTAGTAATAAATATATTTTGCCATTGCTCTTATCTTCCTTCTGCTGGAGTTAATTGAGTTCATGTGGCTTTTGCACTTTGAATTATTTTTGTGACAATTGAAGTCAACTGAAGACAAGGGGGGATGGAGGAGGAAGAGAGACTGGGACATTTTGAAAGCAGCTGGAAAAATGGGCCAGCAGAGGATTAATCTGGGCTGTCCCTGCCAGAATGGGATGCTTGGAGGGTATGTCTGTGATTACCAACCACGCTGCAACCTCCCCAGACATTTTATCGATATGACATATTTTAATTTTTTCCTCAGGGTAACTTTGGAAGTATCCTTGGCTGCAAAGAATGGCATCTCCAGAAATAAAAGAGTGGTGAAAAACAAACCAGTGCCATTAGAAACAGAAAAGAAGGCACACTGGTTCAGAAAGAAGCATCACAGCAAGAACACGGAAGGGGAAAGTAATTCTTTTACTTGTAAACATCAAGTGAAACAGATTGGGAAAATCCTTTGCTTGGGACTGTGGGAGAGTGCAGCAGGATGGCCACAGGCAGGATGGTTTGGCAGGAATAAGGCGCGCGAGAGAGAGAGTCACTGGGAAAGGGGCCACCACCAGAGCTATTTGGAGCAGAGTGGCTCTCCACATTCTTCCCACCCAGGGTTTCAAAACAAGTTCCCTCCTGCTGATTGTGAGAGGGCTCAGAGTTTCCTCTCCCAGCCAGTTCTGCTGTCCCACCTCCCCCCACCCAACCCAATTCCCCTTGTGCTGTTATACAGAGAGAAGTTGTCTCTCTCTTACACACACAGCTTGTTTTTCTTTGTCTCCTGGCAGATGAGGAACCAGGAGCAGACAATGGAGGGTGTAAGGAAAACCGGAAAGCAGCGCCCAAGAAAAAAGTTCAAGGCAACGCCTCAGTCGTCATTGACCAAGAGGAAATGCAGGAGGAGGAAGAGGAGGAGGAGGAGGAAATAGGCCGAGAAGGAAGTGGCAGCAGTGAACAGAACCCTCCCAGTTGCTCCAGTGGGTTTCAAGGAGGCTGGGCACATGGGCTGTGGGTTAAAGGCTTGAGGCAACTGCAGGCCAGAAACCCTGGCATCCTCAGTTGGCTGCACAGCTTTAGTTTCATACAGAAGCCACAAAGAGAGAAAGTCTTGGACTTGTGAATGGCACTAAAGCTGTTTTCAAGAGCAGCAAGCTGTGGGAGAGTAGACTCCCATGCAGGACAAGTACACTATGTGTCCACTTTAATTACTATGGCAAAATCCTATGGGATTGTGAGATTTGCAGTTTAGCAGCTCAGAATGGCAAACCACAGACATCTGTAGGTTGCAGCCAGAGTGGTTAAAGTGGAATCATTGTACAGCGTGGTAGGGAAAGAAAGGGGGCTTGCTCTTCTATGTATAAGTTGTTGGGTTTTTTTTCTTCATCTCCCCCCCCCCCCCCCCCAAATTTGGGATTCAAGAAAACTTGCAAAAATTATGGATACAGATAATAGTTCTCGGTTAAAAACATACAAAAGGTTAAACATATTTAGGTTATCAATAACATGGAAAGTAATTCGAAAACATACCCATTAAAAAGTAAGAGGTAAAATCAGTACAGCTTACTGGGTTGCTGTAGGTTTTTTGGGCTATATGGCCATGTTCTAGAGCAGTGGTTCTCAACCTGGGGTCCCCAGATGTTTTTGGCCTACAACTCCCAGAAATCCTAGCCAGGTTACCAGCTGTTAGGATTTCTGGGATTTGAAGGCCAAAAACATCTGGGGACCCCAGGTTAAGAACCACTGTTCTAGAGGCATTCTCTCCTGACGTTTCGCCTGCATCTATGGCAAGCATCCTCAGAGGTAGTGAGGTCTGTTGGAACTAGGAAAATGGGTTTATATATTTGTGGAATGACCAGAGTGGGACAAAGGACTCCAGTCTGTTGGAGCGTTGTGTGAATGTTTCAACTGACCACCTTGATTAGCATTTGATGGCTTGGCAATAGTTTGGTGTGGCTTGTTGGTGCCTGGGGCAATCTTTTGTTGGGAGGTGATTAGATGTCCCTGATTGTTTCCCTTCTGTTGTTTTGCTGTTGTAATTTTAGAGTTTTTTAATACTGGTAGCCAGATTTTGTTCATTTTCGTGGTTTCCTCCTTTCTGTTGAAATTGTCCACATGCTTGTGGATTTCAATGGCTTCTCTGTGAAGTCTGACATGGTGGATGTCAGAGTGGTCCAGCATTTCTGTGGACCCTAAGACAACAATCCACCACACTTGACTTCAGGAAAAAACAATCCTTTTTTATTGCTGAAAGATGAGTACAAAAAAATAGAGGAAAATATGCAAGATAAAAGCCACAGTAAAAACCAGCAACAAATGTCCATGAACAAGATCAAAAACCCACAGTAACACTGCTAAATCCTGGAACCTGTTAGCAATCCACTAACTGTACTTGAAGCTCTAGAAAAACTCCTTGGAACAAAGCCACTTGAAGCAGGAGAACTGCAAGAGTCTGCACATGTATCTGAAACGATGCCTGGACTGAATGGGCATCCAGGCCAAGCGTTTTTAAAGCATAGAAATCTATTTCGTGACGTACCTGAAGGCCGTGTTTATATTTCTCTTAATCTAGCTGACCTCCGTAAACTCTGCGCTTCACCTCTGCTTTGCCAAATCTGCCCCCGTCTATCCTCGTTAGAGGGACCAGGTGTCAGATTATCTGGAGAGCTAAAAGGGAGTGAAAGTTCACTGCTTGGCTCTGAATCATTCTCATGGGAATTTGGACTTTCGCTTTCCAAAGCAGCAGGATTTTCCCTACACAAACCATCATCTTCTACATTGACCTCAGAATCATTGACATCTTCATTGACATCAGGAAATACAATCAGAGAGTCAGCTACAGGTTCACACACAGGCTGAACCCCAAAAAATACGTTGCTGTTATTGTGTAGCTTTACCCCATTTCTGACCCTATCTGGGATGTTTTCAGAGCTAAACGTGTACCACTTTTCCACCCAGTAGGTTTCCACAGCCAAGCTAGGATTCAAACCCTGTTCTCTATAGATTTAGGCCAACGTTCAAACCATTATGCTACACTGATTCGCGAAGACTCAAATCTACTAATTAGTTCTATTTCAGCAATTTAATGCTGAAATATCCCTTTGAAGTTCCTCTTACTGAATAATGATATATGGGATAAGCAGTAGAATGTCTTGGGAGATTCGCTGTGGCTCTTTTCTAAATATTGCAGCGGTGGATTTCATATCTGTATTCATATATTCTGTATATATGTATTTGCCTAGAAGCTGTTAGTCCTGTCTGTAAAAAAAGAATATAGGCTAGCCTGTAGAAGGAAAACCCAAGATAGACTGTAGGAGAACAACTGAAAGAATGAACCAGCTTTTAAGTCCCTGAGATGGAAACAGGGGATGATACTGAAGCCACAACGTTTGCTTGCAGCCTGCTCTTGTGGCTTTGATGTGATGCCACCTTCTCTTTTCCCTCTTTTTTACCTTGCTTGACATCCAGACATATTATTGTGAACATGCGGGATTCTTGGTGTTTCCTTATAGGCTGCAAAAGGGGTGATGGCAATGATTGCATAGGACAGTATTCAGAATACTTGAATTCCTGACGTCCTGACTTGCGTCTAGTCATACGCTGCCTGAGTAGATGTGGGCATATTATTTGGATCTAGGTCTGCTGCAGGCTTTGGTCCATGAGTTGGTGTGTGGTCTGCTGTTGCCAATGAGAAGCTGCTTTTGATTAGGGGCCTGCTTTGTGTGGGGAGAAAGGCCATGAGTGGGAAGCGCAAGTCATCTAGTCATGAGTTGGATTGAGCTGAGAGCGGTTATGCAATGAGCAACGGATGTTCTGTCACGTTCCCTTCTGTGGCTTTCATGGTTAATCTAGACTTCTTGGTCTTTCACAGTCCCTGCATGCTGTGCCAAGCAACAGCTAGAGAGGGAGCCACATTAAAAAAAAGTCCTGCTCGAACAGGGGACCCTCACTGGATGTTTGGGTGGATGCTGTTAAGGTGGTCCACCCAAACATCCACCCAAAACATCCAGTTCACCATGGAGAAATTACACTGCTTAGCCGGTATCACTGGAGAAATTACACTGCTTAGCCGGTATCACTGGAGAAATTACACTGCTTAGCCGGTATTGCACCACCTGACATCCTCTGGGAAGTAGCAGCCAATAGTGAAAGGACCAAGGCAGAGACATCTCCAGCTCATCCTCCTGTTTGGGTATCAGCCAGCACGTCAACGACTTAAATCAAGACATAGTTTTCTTAGATCTACAGAGACACTCGCTGGAACACCCCAGCAAGCGAGAGTCCAAAAGTGGCAGGCCCAAACCCAGCACCTCAATTCATGGGTGATACCAGATGAGAGACTCCCCCCTGGGCACTCAGAAGACTGGGCGACTTGGAAGGCGCTGAACAGACTGCGCTCTGGCACCACGAGATGCAGAGCCAATCTTAAGAAATGGGGCCACAAAGTTGAATCCTCGGCATGCGAGTGCGGAGAAGAACAAACCACTGACCACCTGCTGCAATGCACCCTGAGCCCTGCCACATGCACAATGGAGGACCTTCTTGCGGCAACCCCAGAGGCACTCCAAGTGGCCAGATACTGGTCAAAGGACATTTAACCAAATACCAAATTTGCAAAATCTGTGTGTGTTTTTTTTCCTTTTTCTTTTTAATCTCTGTGTTTGTTTTGCTCTGTTAGAATTGTAATACAATGGTTGCTGATGACACGATAAATAAAAATAACCTGTCAAAAAGAAAAGGAAGGAAGACTGCCTTTTCTAGATGTCCTAGTCATCTGCAAACCAGATCAACAATTGGGTCACACCGTTTACAGAAAACCCACACACACAGATAGATATCTACATAAAAACTCCAACCATCACCCAAGTCAAAAAAGAAGCACCATTAAAGCCTTGGCAGACCGTGCAAAAAGAATCTGCGAACCCCACCTCCTCCAAGATGAACTGAACCACCTCAACTGGGCTCTCCAGGCCAATGGATACTCCACCTCAGACATCAGAAGAGCTGCAAGACCAAGAACAAGCCACGAGAGTCAAGACGAAGATCAACCCAGAGGAAAAGTGTTCTTGCCAGACATCAAGGGAACCACTGACCGCAGAGGGAAGCTGATGAGGAAACACAACATACAAATTATCTCCAGACCCACCAAGAAAATCCAACAAATGCTACGTTCAGCAAAGGACAAGAGGGATCCTCTCACCTCTGCAGGAGTCTACCGTATACCATGCAGCTGTGGACAAGTCTCCAGAGGGACCACCAAATGCAGCGCCCAGACACGCATCAAGGAACATGGAAGGCACTGCAGACTCCTTCAACCAGAGAAGTCAGCCGTAACAGAGCACCTGATGAACCAACCTGGACACAGCATATTATTTGAGAACACAGAAATGCTGGACCACTCCAACAACCACCATGTCAGACTACACAGAGAAGCCATTGAAATCCACAAACATGTGGACAATTTCAACAGAAAGGAGGAAACCATGAAAAGGAACAAAATCTGGCTACCAGGATTAAAAAAACTCTAAAATTAGAACAGCACAACAACAGAGAGGAAACAAACAAGGACATCTAATCACCTCACAACAAAAGATTGCTCCAGGCACTGCCAGGCAATCAAATGCTAATCAAGGTGGTCAGTTGAAACATTCACACCATGCTCCAGCAGACAAGAGTCCTTTGTCCCACCCTGGTCATTCCACAGATATATAAACCCATTTTCCTAGTTCCAACAGACCTCACTACCTCTGAGGATGCTTGCCATAGACGCAGGCGAAACGTCAGGAGAAAATGCCTCTAGAACATGGCCATATAGCCCGAAAAAACCTACAACAACCCAGTGATTCCGGCCATGAAATCCTTCAACAATACATGGAAATCTTGCAATGGAAACCCTGCCATAGATTAGTTTTAAAGCAGGCATGGGCAAACTCTGGCCCTCCAAGTGTTTTAGACTTCAATTCCCACAAGGAATTGTCCAAAACACCTGAAGGAATTGTCCAAAACACCTGAAGGAGGGCCAAAGTTTGTCTCTGCCTGCCTTAGAGCCATCATAATTCAGAAATGACTTGAAGGTGCAACAGAATAACAACAAATAAAGAGGGAAATAACATAAACAATCATGCCAAAGGAGATTCCATCTGAACATGAGGAAGAACTTCCTGACTATGAGAGCTGTTCAGCAGTGGAACTCTCTGCCCTGGAGTGTGGAGGAGGCTCTTTCTTTGGAAGCTTTTAAACAGAGGCTGGATGGCCATCTGTCAGGGGTGCTTTGAATGCAATATTCCTGCTTCTTGGCAGAATGGGGTTGGACTGGATGGTCCAGGAGGGCTTTTCCAACTCTATGATTCTATGATACTGTATGATCCGTATTTTAATGTACTTTGTATTAATGTATTATGATGCTATTATGTGTACTATATTTGTGTTGAATTTTCTGCTGTTAGCCGGCCTGAGTCCCTCTTCGGAGGTCGAGAAAACCGGGTTATAAAAGCTCTAAATAAATAATAACTAAATAATATGTCAGAACAGATGATAACTTCATCCATCCTGACAGATGAACCTATGCGCTAAGACATGTACAATCTACTTTTTAAAAAAAATTAGCCCACTTTTCAACAGAGATGTTTACAAAAAAGTGAGAGAAAATACAAACAAAGTGTAACTTGGGAAGGAGAACATGAATACATTAAAAGCTTGCAAATAAAACTCCAAATATCTATATTTGTGCGGCACAGACAAAATAACCATGTTGCCATTGACTGAGCCTGTCTGCAGAGGGGATTCCATGCATGGGATGCCATTCCATAGAGAGAAAAACATCCCTTTGGGCCACTCCAAGCAGGTTGTTGGAGCTCATGGCGGCTTGTCTTTTAGGTTGGTGCATTGCATGGATCCAGTGCTCCGGCCCAAACTGCCAGAAGTGGAGGCGACTCAGCAGCAAGATTGACCCCTCGGTTCTGCCAGAGGACTGGTCCTGTAGCCAGAACCTGGGTAAGTGATTCAACCATGCGCTGACTGTCATATAAAACTCGATTGGTGAATCTGGCCCATCTCTTCTAAATCAGGTTAAAGAAGCCTGGAGAGAAACAGGACTAGAACTGAGTATGAACTCTCGTTCTGTTTCTAAATTCACTTTCTGAATGTATTCTTTTTGCAGTGGCTTTGTTTCTACAATCCTAAATGTAATTCTAATACGAGGGTTGAATGAAAAGTAATACCATCGTAACTCCTCAACAGATGGTGGTCCTGGTATGAGGCAGGTACTAGCTTGTTCAGTAGACTCTCCTCTATAGTTCCATTTTGGAGGGAAGCCTTAGCATTAAACAGTTGTGTTGTTAAAGTGCAAAGTATGGAACCCTGCGCAAAGGGGGTTTGTCAATGCGACTTAAGCAATGTCCAGTCATTGAATTCTTGACCGCAGAAAGAGTCACCCCAAAGAAGATTCATCAGAGAATGCAAGCTGTTTATGGTGATTGTGTGCTGTGTTGGGTGGATAAGTTGAAAGATGTTGAGGTGGGAACATCTGACTTGCGTGACAAAGAGTTGGGTGTCCTGTGATAGCAACCACTGAGTTTCACAAGCAAAAGGTTGATTGATTGATTTAGGATGATCGTTGTATCACTCAGAGAGAAATTTCAAGCATAATTGGCATTTCACAAGAACGTGTGGGTCACAAGATTGCTTTGCTTGGCTATTGGAAGATCTGTGCACGATGGTGTTGCAACTCAGAGTAAGCTTCACCTTGCTTCCAAACACCACCACACAAGAGCTGTAGTTTTATAGTTTATTGAGGAAAAAGCCCAAGTCAAAATAAAGAATAAGCATTGCAAAGTTTGAAAGATATAGGTTAAATGCAGAATATAGTTCCAAAGATCTTCAGGTAAAAACAAGAGGCTCAATCCTATAAGCAAAGTTCAAAACAGAATCCATGATACAAACAGTAAAACAATGGCCCCAAGAATTACAATGCAAGAAATCCCAAGCATGCTGCTTTCCAGCTAAGGTTATTCCATGGAGCTTTCAGGCTAATAAGCTACATTGAGCTGACGCTTTCTCTTCGTTTGCAAGAAGCCTAAATACCTTTCTAACATAAAAACATTATGCCCTCACCAACATGAAAGCATTGCGATGACCTTTCTCTGAGCTGGCTTCTTGTCTACCGACCAGGCGAGAACTCCGCCTGACAACGCAAATCAAGACGGGCTTGCCGGGTCAGGTCACTATCAAGGCTTTCTGCACTTTCACTATCAGTGTGGGAAGGAGGCAAAGGCCTCTCCACCTGTTCACTATCTACTTCGTTAAAATCCCTTTCTTCTGAGAACCGCTCTGTTGACTCTGCACTGTTTGTGGGAGCCTCAGAAAAAGACCTAGAAGCAGGCCCAGAGATCTGAGGCACAGAAGGCACAGAAAAAAAGCAAGGAATCTGAATCCCATCATCCTCATCATCAGAGAACATCTCAGCCACAACAGATGGGTGCCCAGGATGCTGACGCCTGAAATGAAAGCACAGACTTGAGATTTGCCAGGAACTCCTCTCGCGTTGCAAGAATGAAGGTGACACCTTTCTCCATTCAATTGTGACAGGAGACAAAACATGGGTACACCATTATGACCCAGAGTCAAAGCGTCAGTCTATAGAATATCAACACAAAGACTCGCCCCAGAAAAAGAAATTCAAGACACAGATCTCAGCTGGAAAAATCTTGGCAACAGTGTTCTGGGATGCAGATGGTGTTATCCATGTTGATTTCCTTGAATGTGGAACAACAATAAATTCAGAGTGTTACACCACAACGCTGTGAACTTTGAAACGACGGCTAACAAGGGTCCGAAGGGAAAAGGGAAATGTTTTCCTGCAGCATGACAATGCCAGGCCACACACTTCACATGCTACCACAGCAGAACTTCAGAGGCTGGATCTCACCACCGTACGACATCCTACATACAGTCCAGATTTAGCACTTTCTGACTTCCATCTCTTCCCGATATTGAAAGAAGACCTGCGGAGACATCATTATGCTTCTGATGAAGACGTTGTGAGAACTGTGAGACGCTGGTTGCGGAAACAGATTGTCGACTTCTTCGGTGACGGCTTCAGAAAACTTATTCAACGTTGGCAGAAACGTATCCAATTGTCTGGTGATTATGTGGAAAAGTGAATAGTGGTAGTGAAAGAGCTTTATTTCTATATTATATTAACTGATCCTGTTAATATTCTCTGTTTCCATGATTTTTCCTATGCCTTAATACATTGTCACCTACCTTACTAAACCATTTTATCCTTTAACTAGTTCACGTAGTGGTTTTCCTCCCCCCTCCAAAATTAGTCTGCTGTTATTGTTGTTGCTAGCTATTTTTGTTATGTTGTTTTATGCTGTTTTAATTGTTATTGCTTTCTTTTAATTGTATTCTGCCTGGGCTTGGGCCCCATGTAAGCTACCCCGAGTCTCTTCGGGAAGATGGAGGCGAGGTAGAAAAATAAAGTTCTTCTTCTTCTTTTTCTTCTTCTTCTTTTTCTTCTTCTTTTTCTTCTTCTTTTCCTTCTTCTTTTTCTTCTTTTTCTTTTTCTTCTTTTTCTTTTTCTTTTCTTTTTCTTCTTCTTCGTCTTCGTCTATTTCTTTTTCTTCTTCTTCGTCTTCGTCTATTTCTTTTTCTTCTTCTTCTTCTTATCCTTATTCTTCTTCTGTGTTTGATTTATTAAAATATTCCCATCCAAACCCAAGTAACGAAGGTGGAGGCATTACTTTTCATTCAACCCTCGTACCTGTATGTTATAGGTTTTAAATTGTATAGTTTTTAACATTGTTAGCCACTTTGAGTATTCTTTAAAAGAGGAAAGCATGATCTTAGTGATGGTGGTGGTGGTGGTGGTGGTGGTGGTGGTGGTGGTGGTGATGGTGATGGTGATGGTGGTGGTGATGGTGGTGGTGGTGGTGATGGTGGTGGTGGTGGTGATGGTGGTGGTGGTGGTGGTGGTGGTGGTGGTGGTGATAGTGGTGGTGATGGTAATGGTGATGGTGATGTGTGCCTTCCTGCTCTGAAACTGGGCAGTCCAAACTTAGAGGTGGTTTGTTTACATTCTGAAATCAGGCCAACATGGTTGCATAGTCCTAATTACAAGTAATTTGGTTTCTGTATCAAGTTATTTCCAAACTTTGGTGAAATGGGAGTAAACTAAAATAGGAGGGGGAAAAAAAAGACATATTTGTTTCAACTTTGTGGAGTGTGAGTGGAGTATTTGTTATCTGTGGCAGATCTCCAGTACAACAGCTGCAGCATTTCTGAGGAGTCCTGGTCAGGAACAGAAGGCGAGATGGTCTATGCAGCTTATGTTCCAGGGTCACTCGTATGGGCCAAGCAATATGGATACCCATGGTATGAAGAAGAAGGAGCGGGAGGAGGAGGAGGAAAAAGCCTTACTCTTACAAAATTATTCACCTCTGCCTTTATTTTAGGCACACTTCCACAGATACAAGTCTTATTGACACAAATGGGACATTGCTTTCCAGTGCCAAAATACCTCAGTGTGGTTTTAAAACCTGCACGGCTGCCATCATCATGCCGTGCGGTGGCAGAAAAATCCTAGTTATGTGAGCAGCGCTGTACTAAAATATGATATTTCCATTGCCAAGCTTATCAGGACGAGGCCCTGCGAGCCAAGAAATAACAGGCCCAAACACTCCCGCGCAGAACAGACTTGCTCCAGGTGTCTCCCGGTGATTAAAAAACCAAATAAACCCCTACTTTAAGGGGAAAACAACAATCCACAGCTGAATATGGCTTTGTGCAGGCGTTCCAAGCGCTGACCTTCCTTGAGAAGCTCAGCCAAAAGAGCCAAGCTTTCTCAGCGCCTTTTGCCAGGACGGCAGCTGCAGTCCTCTGAGGGAAAACTGGCCAAAGATGGGGCCTCCCCTTTCAAGAAGGGGCAGGAAAGCCTGAGGAAGATCCCCTCCTTTCTTTCATATCCTGAGCATCACCGAGGGGGATGTTCGCCAGGGGGATATGGAGGAGCCTCCATTGCAGGCCCACTGCCCCTGATCACGCTTGACCTGAGAGGAACCGCTTTTGGTTTGCAAAGCTTTCCGTCTTGAGGGCAGACTTCAGGCACAGCTGTGTTTTTGTTCAGAGCTCTTGTACATTATTGGCACCCGATAAATGCAAACGTTGCTCTGGTGGAGTGGCAGCGGAGGGAGAGTGGCCAAGCCAAACGTAGGGAGGTCCAAGTTTACAAGCCCTGCTTCCACGCTAGAGGCCATGACTACCAGGGAGGGATTCCTTTTCTGCAGTTGGCTGGGAGGGGAATGAAAACAGATATTCCACTAACACCAAAGCTTGGAGAAAATGATCTTTTTGGAACATGACTCCAAGAATCTTCCTGAGATTCATACACAGGGATTGTAGTCCCAAAGGGTAACTTTTCAAAGCTCCAAATGCAGTTCAATGTGTTGTTGAAGGCTTTCATGGCCAGAATCACTGGGTTGCTATGAGTCTTCCAGGCTCTATGGCCATGTTCCAGAAGCATTCCCTCCTGATGTTTTGCCCACATCTATGGCAGGCATCCTCAGAGGCTATGAGGTCTTGTCGAAGGCTTCCATGGCTGGAATCATTGGGTTGTTGTAGGTTTTTTCGGGCTATATGGCCATGATCTAGAGCAGGGGTCCACAAACCTTTTAAACAGAGGGCCAGGTCACAGTCCCTCAAACTGTTGGAGGGCCGGATTATAATTTGAAAAAAATGAATTCCTATGCACACTGCAGATATCTTATTTGTAGTGCAAAAAACACTTAAAAACAATACAATAATTAAAATGAAGGACAATTTTAACAAATATAAACGTATTAGTATTTCAATGGGAAGTGTAGGCCTGCTTTTGGCTGATAAGATAGAATTGTTGTTGTTTGCTTTCAAGGCATTTCAGACTTAGGTTGACCCTGAGCGAGGGCCGGGTAAATGACCTTGGAGGGCCGTATCCGGCCCCCGGGCCATAGTTTGAGGACCCCTGCTCTAGACCATGGCCATATAGCCCGAAAAAACCTACAACAACCCAGTTATGAGGTCTGTTTGAAGCTAGGCAAGTGAGGTTATATACCTATGGAATGTCCAGGGTGGGAGAAAGAACTCTTGTCTGCTTAGGGCAGGTGTGGATGTTGCAATTAGCCACCTTGATTAGTGTTAAATGGCCTTGCAGCTTCAAAGCCTGGCTGATTGCTGCCTGGGGGAATCCTTTGTTTGGAAGTGTTAGCTAATCCTTGGCTCTACAGACCAATGGAGACTCCACCACTGACATCAGAAGACCAAGAACAAGCCACAAGAGGAAAGACAAAGAGGAAAAGTGTTCTTACCATACACCAAGGGAACCACTGACCGCAGAGGGAAGCTGAGGAGGAAACACAACCTACAAACTTATCTGCAGATCCACTAAGACAATCCAACAAATGCTACATTCAGCAAAGGACAAGATGGATCTTTGCAGGAGTCTACCATATACCATGGAGCTATGGACAAGTCTACAGAGAGACCACCAAACGCAGCAGCATTTCCCAGGCACGATTCAAGAAACGCTCTGGTTACATCCTGAATAGATTACTGCAATGTGCTCTATGTGGGGCTGCCTTTGAAGACAGTTTGGAAACTTCAGCTAGTTCAATGGGCGGCAGCCAGATTGCTAACTGGGGCGGCATACAGAGAGCATACCACCCACCTGCTATGCCAGCTCCACTGGCTGCCGGTCCATCTCCGAGCCCAATTCAAAGTGCTGGTTTTGACCTATCATCATCATCATCATCATCACTTTATTTCTTAATTAGTCGCTCTCCACCAAGGTGCTCCGAGCGACTTACAATTTAAAACAGTTTATACACAATATAAAACATTCAATATAAAAACATTCAACATAAAAACATTCAACATAAAACATTCAACATAAAAACATTCAGCAGTGACTATGGCAAAATTTTATCCGATTACTTAAATGCACAACCAAACTGCCAAGTCTTGAGCGCCTTTACAAAAGGTCGCAACTCCGACATTGCTCTAATATATGGAGGCAATGAGTTCCACAGAATTGGAGCATAGATCGAAAAAGCTCTACGCCTTGTAGCTTCCAAATGTGCCTCCCTAGGACCCGGTATGTATAGGAGATTTTCCTGGGTGGATCGAGGTGACCACTGATGGAGAAAAGGAATGAGGCGGTCCCTAAGATATAAAGGTCCTTGGCCATTTTGAGCTCTAAATGTCAGTATCTTGTAAGAGATCCGATGTTCTATTGGTAGCCAATGCAGTTGTTGCAGAATCGGTGTAATATGGGATCTTATAGATGATCCCGCTAGCAGCCTGGCTGCCGCATTTTGGACCATCCGAATCTTCTGGGTCGTTGACTTCGGAAGGCCAGCATAGAAGGCATTGCAATAGTCCAACCTCGTGGTGACTGTTGCGTGGATTACCGTTGCCAATGCTTCTACCGAAAGGTCGGATGCCAATTTCCTTGCCTGGCGAAGATGAAAAAAGGCCTGCTTCCTTATGGCAGTGATCTGGGCCTCCATCGTCAGCATTGAGTCCAACACAACCCCAAGGCTTTGAACAGTGGCAGACGGAACCAGAGCTTCCCCATCGAAGTCAGGCAGAGACTGGTTTTGACCTCTAAAGCTCTATACAGTTCTAGCCCAGCTTACTTGTCTGAATACATCCACCCCTACGTCCCACCTAGTAATCTAAGATCATCCGGGGAGGCCCTGCTCTCGCTCCTATCAACAGCACGGATGCTCCTGGCGGGGACGAGAGACAGGGCCTCCTTGGCTGTGGTCCCCCGCCTATGGAACACACTCCCAAATGAGGTAAGACCCACTTCCTTCCTCCTGGCTTTTAGAAAAAAATTAAAATCATGGTTTTTGGACCAGACCTTCGGACAGTAGAAGTAAATGTATGCAGCATTGTGGAAAGATAATGACTGGAATGGCGATTTGATGGATGAGACTGTTTTATTGTTTTAATTATTTTATTGCTCATGGATGTATTTTTAAATTTGATTTATGCCTAATTGTGGTGTATGATTATAATTGTTTGTACTGGCATTGAATTTTTGCCATTACTTATGTGTAAGTCGCTTTGAGTCCCCCTCGGGGTGAGAAGAGCGGTATACAAATACTGTAAATAAATAAAATAAATAAACCTGAAAGGCATTTGCACACTGATTCAACCAGAGAAGTCAGCCAGAGCAAAGCACCTGATGAACCAACCTGGACACAGCATATTATTTGAGAACATAGAAATGCTGGACCACTCTCACAACCACCATGTCAGACTACGCAGAGAAGCCACTGAAATCCACAAGTATGTGGACAATTTCAACAGAAAGGAGGAACCATGAAAATGAACAAAATCTGGCTACCAGTATTAAAAAAACTCTAAAATCAGGACAATAAATAAAGAGGAACATTCTGAAAACAGGGGAATCCCAGACAAGAATCAATTAGGACCAGCTAACACTTCCAACACTGGACTGACCTTGAAGGAGCTGGGGGTGGTGACGGCCAACTGGGAGCTCTGGCGTGGGCTGGCCCATGAGGTCACAAAGAGTCAGAGACGAATGAACAACAACACTTCCAAACAAAGGATTCCCCCAGGCAGCAATCAGCCAGGCTTTGAAGCTGCAAGGCCATTCAGTGCTAATCAAGCTGGCCAATTGCAACATTCACACTTGCCTCGAGCAGACAAGAGTTCTTTCCCCCACCCTGGACATCATTCCACAGATATATAAACCTCACAACCCTTGAGGATGCCTGCCACACATAAGAGCGAAACATCAGGAGAGAATGCTTCTGGAACATGGACATACAGCCTGGAAAAATCATAGCAACCCTCCAAATGCAGTGTATTATCACCCAGAAATCATCTTCTCAATGCCCCAAATCTTCTTGCTTATTTATTCTTCCACTAGTTTAACAATTTCAGGCTTCAAAACCATTTCTTATTCGTTTTTTTCTGAGACAGAGGTTGTTTGTATGTTTCCTGTCTCCCTGTGCTATGATTTTAGCAAGCAATTGTCATTTCTTAGTGAAACGATTACAGTTTTTATGTTCAAACTCTGTGTGTCCTATGGAAAATCTGTATTTTAAAGCCCGTCCCCTTTCAAGATGTATCCATAACCAGAGCTTGGGAAGTTACTTTACAAAGTCCTTAGTTTCTGTTACTCATTACCATATCTGAAAGATAACATGTTGCCTCCAATTGCTACATGGTTGGGGAAGTAACTTACTATGTTTCTTCCTCTAATTCTTTAGCTTTTCTGTTACTTTTTGTTGCTTTTAGAGCAGAGGTCCTCAAACTTTTTAAATAGAGGGCCAGGTCGCAGTCCCTCAAACTGTTGGAGGGCTGGATTATAATTTGAAAAAAAAAACCCAAAAAAAACCCAAACAAACATGAATTCCCATGCACACTGGACATATCTTATTTGTAGTGCAAAAACCATGTAAAAACAATACAATAATTAAAATGAAGAACAAATATAAACTTATTTGTATTTCAATAGGGAGTGTGGGCCTGCTTTCGGCTGATGAGATAGGATTGTTGTTGTTGTTTATTTTATTTATTTATTTCGCGCATTTCTACCCTGCCCTTCTCAACTCCTGAGGCGGGACTCAGGGCGGCTTACAAAAGGCACAATTCGATGCCTACACATTGTTGTTGTTGTTGTGTGCTTGCAAGTCGTTTCAGACTTAGGCTGACCCTGAGCGAGGGCCGGGTAAATGACCTTGGAGGGCCACATCCGGCCCCTGGGCCTTAGTTTGAGGACCCCTGTTTTAGAGCAAGAAGAAAACTTTGTGGTGGATAAATCCCAAGCATAAAACTTGAAAGATTACTGTCAAAATGCCTCTAAAGATGCCTTTCAATAGAAGCCATGACTCATTACATCACAAAGTAACTTAATTCCTCCTCATCTTACTATTAGAATGTAATTTATTTACACCACCCCCCCTCTCACATGCACACATAACTAACTAATTAGTTGCAGGAAACTGCATTACTTGCAATTTTTTAAAAATCATCTCTCTCTATATTGATGTTCATCGGAAGGGAATTTTCAGAATGTGGATGTCTGTGTATTGATTCATATCCCTCTTTTCGTTTCTCTATGCATTTGCAGGTGGCCTGGGGTCATAGAGGCTGACCCTTACCTCGGAGAGTATCTCCTGTTTTCTTCCCAAACAGATTCACTTCCTGTTAAGTATTATTTATTTATTTAATTAATTAGCAATTTTGTATACTGGTCTTCTCCTCTCTATCGGGGGCCTCAGGCCGGTTTCCAACAATAAAATCACAAAACAATCATTAAAAACATCATATAACATATTCAATTAAAACGTTATAACAGCAAAATGCAATCACATTATGTACATTTGCTGCCCTCATTTGCATACTATCAGGGCCTACTGCTTTTATACACCTGTCTGCAGTGGTCCCTTGGTCTCTGCTGAGGTTTGGTTCCAGGACATTCAGGAATATCAAAAACCATGATATACAATGGCATAGTAAAATAGCATCCCTTATATAAAGTGGCAGAATCAAGGTTTGCCTTTTGGAATTATTTAAAGTATTTTCAGACCAAGGATGTTTGATCCAGAATCTGTGGATACATGTAAATAAATCTTGGGTAATTCTGCTGGGTCCATAGGCCAATGCCTTTCCTTGAAATGCTCCAGGGTCATGTGAATTTGCCAATTTTTAATAATATTGGCCAAAATTAAAGAATAATTGAATATTATTTGGGCGCTAAGTAGCTCAGAGCGTCCCTGCAACCCATTTAGAAATGAAAGTCAAATTACTGTCCCTGAAGGCTTCCAGCCAATGAAGCCATTCGCCTTTCTTGCCAGCAAAAGGGGGCTTGTGAGAGTCTCTCAGGGCCCACAAAACAGCCTTGAGAGACAGGCTTTTTCCACTCAGTGGCTGCATCTTAACTCTGGGTGTAAGGATTGTATACAGAATAGTGCTAACTGTAGGAGCATCTGCCATCTATAGCAGAATGTAGTGTAAGAAGGTAAAGGTAAAGGTTTTCCCTAGGGTTGTTGTAGGTTTTTTCCGGCTGTATGGCCATGTTCTAAAGGCATTTCTCCTGACGTTTCGCCTGCATCTATGGCAAGCATCCTCAGAGGTAGTGAGGCCATATAGCCCGAAAAAACCTACAACAACCCAGTGATACCGGCCATGAAAGCCTTTGACAATACGTTTTCCCTTGGCATTAAGTCTAGTCGTGTCTGACTAGGGGTTGGTGCTCATCTCCATTTCTAAGCCAAAGAGCCATCGCTGTCCACAGACGCCTCTAAGGTCATGTGGCTGGCATGATTGCATGGAGCACAATCACCTCCCCGCAGAAGCAGTACCTATTGATCTACTCACATTTGCATGTTTTTGAACTGCTAGCTTGGCAGAAGCTGGGCCAACAGTGGGAGCTCACTCTGTTCCCCGGATTTGAACCACCAACCTTTGCATCAGTAAATTCAGCAGGTCAGCAGTTTAATCTACTGTGCCATGGGGGGCACAGAGTGTAGTGTAGCCAGTGCTATATATGAGCTTACAGTCAGAAATAGGAGTAAAAACATTTTGTAGACTCGTAATATTTTAAAAGGGTAAACTTGCCTTTCTTGTTGAAGATAATACATTTAAATAGATGGACAAATGGAAGGTTACCTGACCTTTGCAAAAGTCTCTCTAATACTGATTGTCTGTCAGTCATCTTGAGGCAGAGAAGCCTTATGGTGCTCCCTTCCTCTCAAAAATAAAAAAATAAATGCACATTAAAGGCTTTTGGGAAGAAGAATGGGGAAGGTACCTCTCCATGCAGGCAGGAAGCAAAACACCTTTAGTGACATAGATTGAGGGAATAGAGGTCAAAACAAGACAACAGGTCTACTCCATAGAATGCCCTATTTGCTCAAAAGACAAATGTTGATGCTTCCATCATTTACTTGACAGGAGCCCTATGCTGCCCCTTCTGAGCCTCACTATCCAAGGCCACTGACACACTCCATTTCTGCCCCTCTTTCAGTCCAAGTACCACGTGACCTTCTTTGGCAACGCTGTGTCCCGGGCCTGGATTTCTACCTCCATGCTGAGGAATTTTGCTGGATCAAGTATGGAAGAAGGGAATGGCTTGGTAAGGGGACTTCTGGGGTTTTTAAGTGGGGGTTGCTAACATCCATTGCAGAAGAGATCAGGGAACCTTGGAGGCATCAAAGAGAAACAAATGATGGCATTGGAAAGCAATTACGATCTTCAATGTATTGTCGAAGGCTTTCATGGCCGAAATCACTGGATTGTTGTAGGTTATATCAGGCTATATGGCCATGTTCTAGAGGCATTTCTCCTGACATTTCGCCTGCATCTATGGCAAGCATCCTCAGAGGTAGTGAGGTCTATTGGAAGTAGGAAAAAGGGTTTATATATCTGTGGAATGACCAGGGTGAGAAAAAGGACTCTTGTCTGCTGGAGCTAGGTGTGAATGTGTCAACTGACCACCTTGATTAGCATTTGATTGCCTGGCAATGCCTGGAGCAATCTTTTGTTGAGAGGTGATTAGATGTCCTTGTTAGATGCAGGCGAAACGTCAGGAGAAATGCCTCTAGAACATGGCCATATAGCCCGATATAACCTACAACAACCCAATTACAGATCTGTTGGAGGTAAGAAAGAGCATCTGGCACATAGTGAGGACAGAGCAGATTTCTAGCAGGGATCCCCCTGAGACACTTTTGAAAATGCTTTTGTTTTTCCCCATTCTTTCCGCCTTCCTGTTGGCTCTTCCCCCACCTTGTCATAAACTCTGTCCCCTTCCATACAGCTGAATAGAATCCCATGTTTTCTGCTTTGAACTAGAATATATGACAGTGTGGACTCAGATAACCCAGTTCAAAGCAGATATTGTGGAATTTTCTACCTTGATATTCTGAGTTATATGGCTGTGTGGAAGGGCCCTCTGTTTTCTCCCTGCAATTCTGCTCTTTCTGAATTTTTCTCTACTCTGACGGTCCTTCCACACAGTCATGTAACCCAGAATATCAAGGCAGAAAATCCCGCAATATCTGCTATGAACAAGATTATCTGTGTCATATGTTCCATGGTTGGTGGTGGTAGACCTGGCAGCTGGTGATGGAAGGGTTAATGTAAGTCTTGGTTCTAAAAGGCTGAGTAGTTTGTAAGTAACAGTTTACAGGTAAAAGCAATAAAGGGTGGAGGCATGCAGGGGATAGGTTGCAGCTGGGTGTTACTGAATTTAAGGAGCTAACCTTGGGACTGATCTTTGGGAGAAAAAGATTGTCATATTTTGGTGGTGGATGCTGCTGGTTTTTCTCCCAGGTCTGTTGGATTTTCGGTATCCTGACCTGTCTCCTGTAATCTTGGAACCTTGAACCTTTGGACTGGCTTTTGACTACGGAATAGACTCTTGATCCCTGGACTTTGTTTATTGAACTCTCAGCATTTGACCACTGGACTGGACCCTTTGGTGTAGCTTTTGCTATCCGTTTTTGTTTATTCCGTGGCTGAGTGCTATATTTATGCTTTATATTTTGGTCTATTAAAACAGCCAGCAAGTAAGTGCTGTTTTAATTAAACTGTTTGATAAAACTGGGAGTTTGATTCATCTCTACCTAAATAAGGCAGAACCCTGGCAACGTGACAATCTGAGTCCACACTGCCATATATTACAATTCAAATCAGATAATGTGGGATTTTATTCAGTTGTGTGGAAGGGGCCTGAGAAAGATTATTGACCAAATGACTTTGAGCTGGTTTCAAAGCTGCACAGCTATTCTGGATCTTGTCAAGATACCCAAGGAATTGTGGTTCTGGAAAAGACAAGGTGGGCAAAATGATGACGGGGTTATATATTTAAGCCGGCAACTTTATATCTTTAATAGGATTTTGCCATTCTTACTAAAAGCAAAAGTGGCATGTTGGTAAGGAATGCCAAATCTTCCCCCTGCTATTTCTCATCCCCAGCGCTATCCTTTCCCAAACCCTTTCTTTCAAGCCAAGCACACTCCCAGGATCAGCAGTAGCATTCCCCATCCATCACCCCCCACAAACCAAAAACACAGACCTAGATATATTCTGCTTTTTCATTTTCAGGACAAGCTGAGGGGCCAAATTGGGAAGAAGAATCTCAAAGCGGCTCTGAGGATGGCAAGAGAAGCAGAGCAAATGAACATTCAGGTGTGATTCAGGGGGCAGGAGCCTTGGCCCTTTGTCCTCCCTTTTTCTCACATGTTTTGCACGGCATTTAAGCGAGGGATTCTCCAGGCGATGGTGCAGTCCTTTTCTGGGTCCCTCCAGACCTGGTGCGGCCATTTATTTTCTCACCATAAAATGAAATTTCAGGGCCAGACAGCTTTTGAAAATGGCGTCCAACAGAGCAGCATTGGGGGCTTTTGGACCCCCTTCCAAGTCCTTTCCATTTTCACTTTCTGTCAGTGTAGCTAAGGGATTTGTGAGACCTTCCTTGCCCTTCAAATATTGTTACCTTTCTGTTCCCTGTGACAAAGAGGACTAGGGAGAGAAGTGGCGTTATTGCATACCTTTTATTCTTCTTCCCTCTTTATGATTTTTTTTCCATGTCAAGAGCAACTTGAGAAACTGCAAGTGTGAGAGAATTGGCCATTTGCAAGGACGTTGCCCAGGGGACACCTGGATGTTTGATGTTACCATCCTTGTGGGAGGCTTTTCTCATGTCCCCACATAGGCAGCTGGAGCTGACAGAGAAAGCTCAACCCGCTTTCCCTAGATTTGAACCTCCAACCTGTCAGTCAGCAATCCTGCAGGCACAAGGGTTTAACCCGTTGTGCCACCGGGAGCTTCTCCCTTTATGATAAGAAGCATACAATAGTGCTACCCAAAGTGGTGGCCCAGTGGGCAGTTGTAGCCAATTGGCACAAATATGGTTGCCAGGCAAATGATATTAGAGGAAAAGATGAAGTACTTGGCCACATCATGAGAAGAAAGGAAAGCTTAGAGAAGGGAATGGTGCTGGGGAAAATGGAAGGAAAAAGGAAGAGGGGCCGACACAGGGAAAGATGGATGGATGGGATCCGTGAAGGGACTGGATTGACCTTGAAGGAGCTGGGGGTGGTGGCAGCTGACCTGGGATGGTCCAGGAGGTCACAAAGAGTCGGAAACGACTGAACGAATCATAGAATCAAAGAGTTGGAAGAGACCTCATGGGCCATCCAGTCCAACCCCTTGCCAAGAAGCAGGAATATTGCATTCAAAGCACCCCTGACAGATGGCCATCCAGCCTCTGTTTAAAAGCTTCCAAAGAAGGAGCCTCCACCACACTCCGGGGCAGAGAGTTCCACTGCTGAACGGCTCTCACAGTCAGGAAGTTCTTCCTCATGTTCAGATGGAATCTCCTCTCTTGTAGTTTGAAGCCATTGTTCCATTGTGTCCTAGTCTCCAAGGAAGCAGAAAACAAGCTTGCTCCCTCCTCCCTGTGGCTTCCTCTCACATATTTATACATGGCCCTCATCATATCTCCCCTCAGCCTTCTCTTCTTCAGGCTAAACATGCCCAGCTCCTTAAGCCGCTCCTCATAGGGCTTGTTCTCCAGACCCTTGATCATTCCAGAGGACACATTCCAGAGGAGGGCGACTAAATGTCAATATCCCTCTTGAATGAACAACAACAATGGTTGCCAGTCCCTGGTGCAATGAACAAAAGCCTGCCAGTCTGCCATTAAGAAACACATATCTGTGGATATTATTTGACCCTGGTTTCTATTTAGGAGTGAATTGGTTTAGGCCAGATATGGACCAACTTCGGCCCTCCCTCCATTTGTTTTGGACTTCAACTTCCACAATTCTTAATAGCCAGGCTGTTAGGAATTGTGGAAGTTGAAGTCCAAACCACCTGGAGCCTCTATTCAATTTCTGAGCATGGAGGAACTTGTGCAAAGCCTCATTCAACACATGAGCAAGGAATCCCAGTAGCAGTCCTTGCAGCTGGAGGGGTGGCATCCTTGTTTGTCTGTTTTTACACGGAGCATCCCCTGTGGAACCTTTTGTTTTCTCCTCTGAAACTTGGCATCGAGCGAGGCTCCCAGCCAGGCAAGGAACCAGCTGCGCTTTCAGATGGAAAACACCTGGGGACACCCCCCTGTTGTGAGACAAGGCAGTCCCTCCTGGGTCATTTCAAGGGAACAGCTGGGCATCGCTGGCACGGGGAGGCCAGTCGCTCTGCCCTCCACCTCGCTTACTCCGCTCCCCAAGGCTCCCTTTTCAGGCAGGAAGAGGAAATGGCCATGGTTCTCAAAACTGGGGGTCAGGATCCCAGGGAGGTTGCAAGGGGGTGTCAGAGTGGTCACCAAAGACCATCAGAAAACCATTTTCTCATTGGTGGGGTATAGAATGCTCTTTGATTGTAGGTGAACTATAACTCCCAGCAACTACAACTCCCCAATGTCAAGGTCTATTTTCCCCAAACTCCACCAGTGTTCACATTTGGGCACATTGCATATTCATGCCAAGTTTGGTCCAGATCCACCATTGTTTAAATCCACAGTGCTCTCTGGATGTAGGTAAACTATAACTCCAAAACTCAAGGTCAATGCTCACCAGTCCCTTCTAGTATTTTCTGTTGGTCATGGGGGCTCTGTGCTTAGAAATAAGCAATGCATAAACAAAAACTGGAGTCCTGCCTAAACTAAACTGGGATTCTTCTCCCCAATGAAGTTTGGCACAATCTCATCATTGGTGGAGTTCAGAATACTCTTTGATTGTAGGTGAACTATAAATCCCAGCAATTATACCCCCAAATGACAAAATCCCACCAGTATTCAAATTTGGGTGTATCGGGTATTTGTGCCAAATGAAGTCCAGTGAATGAAAAGACATCTTGCATATCAGATGTTTACATTACAATTCATAACAGTAGCAAAATGACAGGAAGTAGCAACAAAAATAATGTTCTAGTTGGGGGTCACCACAACATCCGGAACTGTATTAAGGGGTTGAGGCATTAGGAAGATTGAGAACCTCTGCACTATAGGATCATTTTGTTGGGGAGAAGAATCCCAGCGAGATTAGATTGGCGTCCTCCCCCCCCCCCCTTACCTTTCGGAAAAAACTAAAGACGTGGTTTTGGAGCCAGGCCTTTGGCTAGTGGGCACAGCAGCACTTTAGGCACTGAACTCGGACAATAGGATTGTTATGAAAATTGGAAACAGCTATATGACCTGTGATTATGTGACTTGTTCTATGTGATTATGTAATTTTAATTAATATAACTGTTTAATAGTTATGTAATAGGATTTTATAATGTTGGTTTATATTGTTGTTATTGATACTGTTGGCATTTAATTGTTGCCTGTGTTAGCTGCCCTGAGTCCCCCCTCGGGGGTGAGAAGGGCGGGGTAGAAATGGTGTAAATAAATAAATAAAATTTATTTTTTTATTTTTTATTTATTTAACTTGTATATCGCTGTGACGATGTGTAATTTTATTTCTATGGTTATGTGTTGTTTAAACAGTAGTTAATAAATGGTAAGTATGTAGGATTATATTTTGTTAGAGATAGTGGCTGGTTTGGCTTGAGCAGAGTTGCCATAGCAATGGGGGCGGAGCCAACTGTCCCTTCACGGGGCAGCTGTTTGAAAGTGGCAGTCTGTGACCGGTAGAGTTACAGGGAAGACTGATTTCTCTAGTGGGAGAAACAGGGAACTAGTTTCTCCCACTAGGATCAAGGTAGTTGATCCTGTGATGTGTGGAAAACCATCAGGAATACTATGGTTAGAGAACTATAGGGAAGACTGGTTCTTTAATATTAAGAATCAGGGTTTGGCTGGGAGCCAATTCTGTTAAATAAGCCTTTTAGCTTATTTATTTTATTAGGACAGTTGTCCAGGAACGATACATCTGCTTATAGAAACCTCTTAAAGTCTGTACCCAAAGTTACTCATGAAACCTTACTAATGTAACCTATCAAGATTTGTGCCTCTTGTGAAGAAACAATCGAATCTGTTATACCTTGCTTGTTCCAATAAAATTGTTACTGTTCTCCTCAAGCCTTGCCTGATACAGTTTCTCCTAAGTCAAACAGCCAACATAAGACGTAAAACCAAACCAGGGACAGTAAACGCTACGCTATCAAATAAGTAAATCCTTCTTTGTAAAACAGCTCCTACGTTGATACTGAGAATTACTGGGCTTCCTCACAGATTAGGTGGCAGTAATTTTACCCTCCTTCACAATCGCTACTCACAATTTGGCTCAGAGTGGTTTACAGAAGCAGGTTAAAACAATACAGTTAGCTTTAAAAATAACAATAACAAAACAATAGGCAGCGAGAACAGGCATAGCCCGTCAAAATAATAGTTTAGGCGGGACTCCAGTTTTTGTTTACATATCGCTTGCTTCTCACCTCATTTCTCACATTGAGCTCAAGAAGATGGACATGTTCAGTCGTCTCCGACTCTTCGTGACCTCATGGACCAGCACACGCCAGAGCTCCCTGTCGGCCGTCACCACCCCCATCTCCTTCAAGGTCAGTCCAAGGTCAAGGTCAAGGTGGACATAGCTCTCCTCTTTTCCCTATTTTGTCCCCTCAAAAGCCTTGTCAGAGGACAAGCTAAGTTCCCATCTATCCTGCCATATAACATCCAGATTATCTGCTTTGAATTGGAATATATGGCAGTGTAGACTGGGGCCCTTCTACACTGCCAGATAATGCAGGTTATCCAAGCAGAAAATCCACATGATCTGAACTAGATTATTGTAGGCTGAACTGAAATCCAAATTATTTGAACTGGACCGAAATCCACATAATTTGAACTTGATTTTCGTAGGCCCCATATAAACAGCCATACAAAATGCAGATTATCTGCTTTGAAGTGGATTATATGGCAGTTCAAAGCCATATAATCCAGTTCAAAGCACATAATGTGGATTTTTATACAGCTGTGCAGAAGGGGCCAAAGTCACAGGTGAAAATGGGGAATGCTGTACGCCTAAAAAGCCTTGTTGAACCCATTCATTTCTCCCTTTTCCTTTCCCTGGACCAGGAGAGAATAAGGATGTTTGGATTCCACAGACGGTTCAGCGAGGGAGCCTTACCCAAGGACCTACAAGGTAGTTGGAGAATGGTGTGGGGTCACAGGGAAGCCCAAAGGCCGATGCCCTTCCCACTGCCATCTCTCTGTTCCTTTTGCCTAGGAGATTGCTTTGACTTCACCTGCAGGCTTCCTGCCAAGATGGCTCTAAGGCCAGGAGCTGAGAAAAGGAACCCTTGGAGGCCCAACAAGAGTCAAGAGAAGGTGGGCTGGGAATACTTAAAATCCCCCAGTTGAAATTATTCGACAGTATTACATTGCCCACAGTAAAAAGTATATTTGCATATTTATCCCACATGTGAAATGGTTGATTAGGTTGCTGTGAGTTTTCTGGGCTGTCTGGCCATGTTCCAGAAGCATTCTCTCCTGACATTTTGCCTGCATCTTTGGCAGGCATCTTCAGAGGTCTGTTGGAAATTAGGCAAGTGAGGTTTATATGTCTGTGGAATGTCCAGGGTGGGTGAAAGAACTCTTGTATGTTTGAGGCAGGTGTGAATGTTGCAATTGGCCACCTTGATTAGCATTTAATGACCTTGCAGCTTCAAGGCTGCTTACTGCCCAGGGGAATCCTATGTTGGGAGGTGACTGTTATTATTATTATTATTATTATTAACTTTATTTATACCCCGCAAAATCTCCCGAAGGACTCGATGTGGCTTACAAAGGCCAAGGCCACCAACAAAACAACAGCATACAAATACAACAGTAAAACTCATAAAGCAAATAATAAAAACATCAAGCAAAACAATAAAACACTAAAAAGAATAACACCATGACGCATTTAAAACCTAAGGCCGGGCCAAATGTAATAGACAAAATTTAAAAAGTGCTGGACTTGACAGGTGATATGTAGAGGTTTTTGGAGGTAAGTGCAATGTGCAGACAATCCTAAATCTCTGACAAGGTGCATTTGGGACATGATGCCAGGAGTTTCCTATTCTGGAAAGGCACACTGGAACAGCCAGGTCTTCAGGCCCTTCCTAAAGACTGCCAGCATTGGGGCTTGTCTGATGTCCTTGGGAGAGAGTTCCAGAGTCAGGGGGCCACCACAGAGAAGTCCCTGTCCCTCGTCCCCACCAGACGCGCTTGTGACGCCGGTGGGATCATGAGCAGGGCCTCTCCAGATGATCGAAGGGAACGTGTGATTAGCTGGCCCTGATAGTTCCTTGTCTAGAATTCCCTGTTTTTTGGGTGTTGCTCTTTATTTCCTGTCCTGATTTTAGAATTTTTAAAATAGTGGTAGCCAGACTTTGTTCATTTGCATGGTTCCCTCCTTTCTGTTGAATTTCTGTTGTGGATTTCAATGGCTTAAAAAATAGGGGAATTCATGCTTTTATGTTAAGCCTCTTTGGGTCTCCTTTGGGAGAGTTACAATGGGGTATAAATAAATGTAATAATAACAACAATAATAAATATAAATTAAAATCAATTTTTATAATATAGTAAAAGCAGTTTTTTAATGCAGTGTAAAAAGTTAGTTTTTATATGCTTTAAATAACAATATTCGAATATTATTATGAAGTCAGTACAACTTCATTGTATGGTATAGAATAGGGTGCAGTATTAGGCCTGTTTTCAGTTGTAACTCTCAAGCAACCAGAAACTACATTGATCCAGTATTGACCAATCTCCAGGGTTAACTGAGTGTCTGCTGTATTACTAAAATGTTAGGTTTGCAATATTCCCCATTTTTCTGGTGTCTGTGTTCCAGCTTCCTCCTGGCACCCTGGCGATGAAAGCAGATATGAACATCAAGAACAAAATCAAGACAAACGGTGAGCTTTTGACTGATAAAATCATCTTCTCCAATAGCTTCAGCCTCAAGCCTCTTTCCTACGGTTTAAGACAGGCATGGGCAAACTTGGGCCCTCCCTCCAGGTATACCAATAGGAATTGTGGGAGTTGAAGTCCAAAACACCTGGAGGGAGAGCCCAAGTTTGCCCATGCTTTATAGCCTTGAGGGCAGAGAGGCCAAGGATCAATCAGGCACCCTGAATACTAACCAGACAAGAGCAACAGCCCCTCTCTTGTCCACACAGAGCACCAAAGAACCAATGTGGCAAGTGAAGGTGTCCCCTTGTCCAAGAAGAGCCGGAGAGAGGGGCCGTTGCCCAAAGCTGAAGCTGGATCAGGCATAGCAAAGGGACGGCAGAAAGGTATGAGGCAAAATCTCAGATTGCATGCACACATTGGGAGAGTTTGCACTGCACCGTTTACCACAGTTTGACACCATTTTAACTGAATTGGCTCCCATAACGTTAAGATGAACCTGTCAAGTCTTTTACTGTATGTTTTGCAACTGGTTTTTGGTGTTTTTATTGTTTCTAATGTCAGATTTGTGTCCATTTATATCCCATTGCATGGGGAATGCCTTTTTTGTTCAGGAGGGTATTGCTGACATATATCACATGAGAGGAAGAGTAAATAAGTACACCTCTGATGTGGAAGATGTTATTGGCAATCTGGTGTGGTCCTTAGAATTCCCTGCTAGGGAGTTGTAGTTTCGTAATTCATGGAAGTGAACTAGAGCTCTAGCGGAGAGCGGAGAAATGACTGACCAGTAGTTGAACCCAAAGCAATAACAGTGGCACCTAAGTACTATTACTGAGCAGTTGCTATTATTTCCCGTCCAGTTGGCTTCAAATTATTATGCTCTTAGAAATGAGAGGCCACCAAGGTTTCCATCTATAAACTGATTTGCAAATTCCCTACAAGAAATATACCTTTGGTGTTAATTGTAAGTTTTGAAATTTGCTAAGTTGAAGCAGAAACTGGAATCTGAGCAGGGAAGAATTTTGGTGTTCTAAAATTTATTTGGAAACCATAGATGGAATTGGGTTGCTGTGAGTCTTCCGGGCTGTATGGCCATGCTCCAGAAGCATTCTCCCCTGACCTCTTGCCCACATCTATGGCAGGCATCCTCAGGGGCCTGTTGGAAACTAGGCAAGTTGAGAGAATGCTTCTGGAACATGGCCATACAGCACGGAAAACTCACAGCACCCAGTGATTCCAGCCATGAAAACTTTCGACAACACATAGATGGAATTTTTTCATTCTATGATTTAATACAGAAGGAAGGAGGGAAGGGGAAGGAGGAAGGAAGGGAAGGAAGGAAGGAAGGAGAAGGAGAAGGAGGGAGGAGGGGAAAGAGGGAAGGAAGTAAGGATGGGAAGAGGAAGGAGAAGAAGGAAGGATGGATAGATGGATGGATAGATATAGATAGATAGATAGATAGATAGATAGATAGATAGATAGATAGATAGATAGATGAGGAGGGAAAAATGAATACAGAAGGAGGGAGGTTTAGACTTGATGTCCCCTGGGGTCTCTTCTTATCTATCTGTCTGTCTATTTTAGGACTATATGGTCCTGGTGTCTCTTCCAACTGTGATTCTATGACTCTTTCCCTGGATCATAATTGGTTTCTGTGTTTCTCCCAAGGTTTGAGGAAACCCTCCTCTGTGTCACGGCACAGAGGAAACCCTCCTCTGTGTGCAGACAGCACTTCTTCCCAGTTAAAGTTCTCTAGTTATCTAAGAAAGAAAAACAGTTTGGAGGAGGCCAAAAGCAAGGGCAGCACCGGCCTGGAGGAACCAAGTGAGCCCTTGCCATCTGACCAAGATGGAGAGGAAACCTTCAGCAGCCAGGAGACAATTCGCTGTGAAGAATGACTCTCCTGAAGACTTTTCCTTGGCCTTCTTTGAAGAGGAGCCTCTGGAGTGTGAGCCACCAGCCCTTGGAATGAAAAAAGGTGGTCCTGTTCCCTCTCCCAAGCCCACTACTAAGGGCAGGAGACTTGAAAGCCGTGCTAAGGATAAATAGCATCAGAAATAATATTGGAGAACAGAGGCATACTGGTCTGGTTTTGAGTTTAATCCGCCTCGGAAGTTGGTGACGGCTTGTTTTGAAACAGAGCTGCGAAGTTTCCTCTTTTCCGTTCCTTGATTAAACAGCCAGCTCGAAACACCGCTATAAACAAGACATGGAAAATAAATTCACTCTCTTGCAAATGGGATCGAGCCGCTTAATGTTTAATGCAAAGGAGAAAGCAGGCAAAACGGCAAGGATAGCGTAGTAGACGTTTGTTTTGCCCCAGTTTGTAATATGACAAACACTTTGTTTGTGTTAGAAGAGTTAAATGAAACCTGTTTCTGCCAAATTCTATTAAAGTATTGGA